AGCGTGAGCTATGAATCAGACAAGCTATTCAATGACATTGTCTGTGTGATATTCAATTTCCGCTATTTTTCTTTATATAAAATACAAAGCACTCCCAACAAGCATCTATAACTTTTGAGAGTTCTGTACAGACTATCGTATATGCTGACAAAGTAGTTTATTACAGGAACTGTATTTCAATAGTCCGGGCTGCGTGGTTGTGACGTATATTAAACAGTGTCACGGGGCTAGCTCTGTTGTTAGACGGCGGTTGCTAAACGTCAGAGGCTAGCACTTGATTGATGGTTGCGGTGACACTCGTTGCGTCAGGCCGGAGGTCGCGGGGTCAATGCCGTCATCATCACAGTATCCAACAAAGGCTATTATCGTATCTAAACAACAATCCATTCCAACCTATCGTACACGTAACATTTATAAACGACAGAAAATACATTATACTAATTATAATAGAAACATAAAGTTGATATCAAGTATCAGACACACGAACACTAACGTGGAATTGATTGTGAAGTGACCATCAATATTCAATAAAGACCTAAACAGTTTATTATTACAGCGCGTTGTAAACGTCGATTCTACATTGGAAATTAATAAAGCAAACCAGGAATAATGTCATAGTATACGAATTAGGTACAAATTAGATATTTACATATTATATATAAAAAATTGATTCCAATAGGTAACGACCAACATAAAGACCGTATAGTCCTACTCTATATGTGCAGTTAGCTTAGGACATCCGACACTCCACGTACACATTGGAAATAGCGTTCTAAAACATACACGTATGATAGGAGAGTTCGCGATAAAACCTCTCCGACGTCATAAGCGACCCTCGGCGACACGGCTCGCCCCAACCAAAATATATTTAGCTACACCTGCCAGCGGTACGTTATTAACAACATAAAAGTTATACCACAACCTGTATCTAATGAGAATCTATATCGCTGCTTTTATGCCCAACTATAATTTTCTATTGGCCAGTTTATTGCTAGGGATTAAAATACACTTAGCTGATGAAATTCAGACATTTAATATTATATGGGAATCTTAAATCATATTATATAATAACTCAAGTAGGTAACGCCGAATGGATTTATTAGTTCATTTACCTAGATATGCTAAACCTTTTTGCATTAACTTAATATAACAGATGCTATTCAGCTATGTAAATTGGTTCTCATCAATATAATCTTTTAGGTATATAAGGTGTAATAGCGCAAATTTTTAAGTTGTGAGGTTCAGTATAAGTGTCGTTGAGACAAAAAAAAACAAAATATTATCAAATACAATCGATTATATAACCAAAGTTCATATTTAATGAATACGCTGAATAAACCTTCGCATATACTTCTAGCACGGATTTAAGTCTCGAGCTTAGAATAATCCACAAGTCGCTTTACGTTGATGTATAATAGCTTTGAATATGAGCGAAATATGTTAATTCAGACATTATGACTAGCGTACAGTTACTCGGTTAACAAAGTAACCACAGCTAACTAGAGTCGAGTACTCCGGCCGTCCTTGCAACGCGGACACGTACGTAATACAGTGGTACACGAATGCTACTATTAAAACTCAGCTACATAAAAACTGTATTAAAGTGACTGACTCATTATGTAATTCAAAAATAAATCACATCTCATTTACTCTGTGGTCTAGTCATTATTAATATATAATTTGTAAACTCGATCGAGTCCAGCAATGCGGTACTGTTTTAAATATAAAGCCTTGATTATTTTGTGAAAGGTCTACCGGCAAAACCGAATTCCAATTAAAAATTTCATTTTAAACTCAGAAAGTTGTCCAGCTGTAAAAAGATCACTATTGACGTATATTTTTTTAATACTGGTTCTCGTATAATTTACCATGTTACATTAAGTTGTTTATTTCGTGAATGTGTATAGCTGTTAAGAAGCGATTCCTTTGGTTGCGGGACGGGTCTTTTTACAGCCTCGTTACCCGAGATCCAAGGTTTTTATAACCCGATTACAACCCGCCCAGCCCGCTCGACCTACGCACCCCCGTAATTGGGGTAAATCTTTCTATTAAGGACTCTAAACATTTATACAACTGTCTCCTATTCGGTATATTGATTCATGATCGTAACTTCTTTAAAACGGACAAGTAATGATATATTCAATTTGTTTTTCACGAACAAAGGGAACGATTTTTTTATATATCAAAAACAGTATCAATTATTAAAATGCAAGTACAGCGATTGCCGGAGCCGAGGCTCGCGACCGCATTTTGTCATCGTACGGCCTCGCGACGAATTATCGAAATCATACCGCAATAATTACATTCGATCTGAATGTGGACTAGCGTACACTGACATCACTACGTATATGAGAATTTTAAATAACATTAATATACACCTCTCCCTTAAATTAATCAATTAATATAAAACCTAAATCATTTACATTTATAGCGTTATTATTTTAAAGACTAATTGCTGTACGTATCATTAAAGTAATAAGCGTGTGAAATAATAAACAAATATTGTACGTAAAACGCCAGTCCGAAGCCGGAGGCAATTTATACAGGATTATAATATGCAGATACTGCATAGTGAATTACGTACTTTACCTACTTTATAAATATTCATAGCGATAAAACAAAATTGATTCCACTGTGAAAAATTATATTAAATTGAAACATAGAATTCCACAATATGAATAAAATCACTAGGTAAAATCTATAATAAAATAAAAAATTCATCTAAGCCAAAATAACACCATATATAATAATATGTAATATAAAGCAATTTATAAATTTGTCATTTTTACTCTAATAATTTCACGACAAGCATGATAAATGAAAAGAAATATTTATATAATACTAAAGATAGATGTATCTCTTTCATCAAACGATGTATGTACAATACGGAATCGTTCGTAAATTTCCCTCAACATTTTTTTCCGGGCCGTGTACTTATTTAGTTTGTTTTGGAGTGTGTCGCCTGTCGTCTGATTAGACACTATACAGCGGTGCGTCATTCGTTTAGCACGGACCCCATTCCATCTCGTTTATTATGAATACTCGAGCCCCCGAAACTAGCGTTTTCTATTCGTACATTTTGCTACACGGAATATGCTTTGTGTGTCAACGTTATAAAACTTGTTCCTACTCGAGATTTGTCTTAAAACGAATTACTTAAAACATATATTGACATGGTCTACAAGCTATTTCCATTAGCGTGGCATGTCGTTTTTGAATGTATAAACTAACGTTAAATTATTGCTATCAATAACAATGTTACATTCAGACTTCTACTTAGTAGTCTAAGCTACTTTATGAGATCCTTTACTTTTTGTTATCAATAAAACGTGGGGAGCGTTCTCGATATTTACGAATAGAATTGTAACGACGACATTCTTATAAACTGCCCCCCCCCCTCCCCCCTAGCCCCTGCTCACCTCTTCGTTTCTAGGATGCATAATATTTCTTTTGTGTTGTCATTCACCGCTCCAAGTGGAGTTGCATAAATAAATAATTCGAAACGGACCCTTCTCAACCTCAACTCTTTACTAACACTCAATGACTTGCTCACGGTTGCAAAAGAAAAAATCTCTCAGCGGGTACGAAACTGTGATTGACATCATATGAATTATAATAAATTATGAAATAGATTAATTTTTGAAGATAATAATTTCATTTCGGGACTGGTTCGGGAAAATTTATTTATCCGTTTCCCTTTCAAATTCAGTGGGAACGTTTAATTTTTACTATACGCACAGGATACATAAATCCCGAAAGTATATTATAAAGGCAAAAAGTTAATGAAATACACAGTTGATAATTTGCACAAAACAGAAACGCGGAGGGGTCGTCGACTCGGCGGTAGGCTGGTTGGATACATCCGTGGGTACGGAGCCAGGAGGAGCGTCCCCTTGTTTTCGGATATCAGAACGTTGGTGTACATTCATTACAAAAACCGACACATCGCGAGGGTTTGGAGGGCGGAGGGAGCCGCTTCAATAATTCCACTCATTTGCCTTCCCTAGCATTCGCGAGACAACAACAGCCCGTCTTACTGTATCAATAAACATCAAACGAGCCCCGATATATCTTTCTGTAATATTCTATAGGGTTGGGTAAAGTACGTCGGGTGACAGATACCTACAAAGTTAATAAAAGTATTTAAGCAATTTATAAATGGATTTTCTAGAGGCGGATAGGGGAGAGATCCTAAAACAACAAGGATAGAATCTATGTCATTCAACCGACCCGCATCCAACCAACTGCGTCGGACGGAAAAATAATTCCATACAAAGAATCTACGAGGGAACAATAACTATGAATAAAATACATTTTTATGCTCGAGAAATCATGTAAGAGACTCGCAGCCCTAAACAGCAGGGTTGACACCGCCATTTCTTTTTATCGAACAGTTTGTAATGTAGCGCCGCCGGCTATGTATCTCCCGAATAAAAAGGCGCGCCGTGCTTTGATCTACGCTTAATGAAATAGCAGGACTACAACGCCAGCAAAGCAAATATAAATCCATATTACAGTCCCCTTTCGGAACGAGTGTGAGATTCAATTGCCGAATATGTTCAACTATAAATAATAACACGACAACGCGTTTCCATTTCCTCCGTGAATTGCATAGGAAATTGCTTTCATTTTTAAGGCGAAAACAATGTTCAAGCCATAAATAAAATGGATAACGCCCACGCAAATTGGAGTAGATTTAGTTGCAGGCTCGCTGTGGCGACACAATTTAGCAAACGGGCTTATTGTCAAGTGTCGCGACAGTGGCGGAACTCTCGCTAACTACCAGAGTATAGTGTCAAGTGACATACAGATGGTTCACTCGTGTGTCGCCAACTGATGTGACGACATTCATCCTTATAATTAATGTAGTTTTTATTCGGACTCATTCAAGTCGCATGTAGGTTGCGAGCTGCCCCTCGAATACTTTACCTTATTTGGCACTACAATTAAATTTTAACGTATATAGTAAGTATATTAACTGTACAAGGTGTAAGACTTACCGCGTCCTGATCGTGTGCATTGGGTGTTGATGGCTGAGCTGGTCTCGGCGGTGGAGGGTAGCCCTGAAGATATTTATTAATTAAAATAAAGAATAATTTCATGGAATTAAATTCATCATTATAAACTCTTAAGCCGTTATTATTTGTTTTTGTAATCTTCTATATATATAAAAATGAATTGCTGTTCCTTAGTCTCACTTAAACTCGAGAACGGCTGAACGCATTTATCTTATCTTAGTCTTAAAATGTTTGTGGAGGTTCAGGGAAGGTATAAAAGTTGAAAAAAATTGATTCACTTCTGGGAAAACCCTATAAACAGCCCTTTCCTATTTCCCATACAAACGTTTTTTTGACATTAGATTTGACAACTATCTAATACGTCAATCATTCTGTGCGATTGAAACCGGAAAAATTTAATAAATACCAATACCTGGTTATTTAAGATGCAATAGAGTTCGCCCGGTTAGCTATACATATGTATATTACTAATGACGAAATTAACGCGGACGAAGTCGCGGGCAAAAACTAGTGTACATTAAAATATACATATATTATATTAGTTCTAAGCGGAACACATCCTACATGTGTATCTTGAACGTAGCCGTGACTTCTGAGTAACTTATTACACAGAACCTAAGCTGGTATAATGTGTACCTATTATTCTAATTTATCGCCTCCTCTAGTATTGAAACCGCAATAGTTAAAGAACACATAACAAAATACCGTCCATTAAGATGTCTATCAAGTAGCTATGAAACAACTTGGGTTTTTCATTTTATGTATGTTCGTTTGCATGTTCGTGATTTTCCCTAACACTAAGTTATTCTATTTCGATGCGGTAATAAATTTTAAAAAGCGTGTGATAGAACAAGTTATGTACTTTTGTGTGTGTTTATAACACTCAATTAACAATGTCCAGTTTCAAGACGCTTATAAAGTTTCTTTTGAAATGGTATAGAGAAAGCAAAGTTTAATTGAATTTAGAATATAATAATAGAGTAATGTGCCAAATATATATTGACTAAGTTATTTAAATGTATGAAACTATACTTCGTCAAAAAAGATTAACATACAGCCAATATACAAAATTATAAATATTCATGTTAAAATATAACTAAATTCAAATGCATCTCATACACGTACATACATATGTATGTACAACATTTGTTGATTTTCAGATACGAAACTATTTAAAATTAAAGACAATCAGATACCACTTCTATCACGGCAAGTTTTTTAATAATACCTAAGTGTAAATTTTATATCTTATTATTGATCTAATCACTGAGGTAAAATATCAAATTACTGAAATCAAACTTATTTATTTATATTGTTGATGAATCTATATATAAGTGAAAATCGAGACCTATATTCTGCTATTATTTTTAGTTAGTACAAGCGCTAATAGCTGTCAGCTGATTGATCGTTTATTTATTAGTTATTAATTAAAGATAATGTTCCCTGTGATGTGACTACGATGACGACCATTAAAAACAATCTGAATCATTTGAAGTGCCGACAAAAAAAAAGTGCCAATAAAGCGATGCAAATTTCTGCTTCACTTCAAAACTGAGTCTTAGTTATACAGTAATAAGGTTTATTGTGAATCGTGCTTGCAAGTCACGCATTTGGCACGTGATTAATGGCGCACTGCGAAGGGTCGACAATAATACTTTTATTATTTACGGGAGACTTGATATCGTTAGTATATAGAGAAAATTATTTCAACTTCTTACATTATATATAATAGAATATTTTATAGTAAATAATTGTAATACTAATGTGATAGTGGCTTTAGCCGCTAACTAGTTATGATATTAATAAGTCGTGATGGTATCTCAAGTACACGCCACCGTAGCTTGACCTAGCTATTAATTTGATTTGATGCCGGCTACTGCTGTTAGCCGCAACCTAATGTATACGTGTGCCGTGTAATTTAGACTCGGGCTGTACCATGAATTTTTATGTAATGTAAGTAGGCTAATTCTAGGGAATTTCATCGGTGACCGTAGGTACCTTGATATCTATCGGTTTAAAACTAAAAAAATATTCATAAAATTTGTTACTGCTATAGAATCAAACGATAAAATATTCCAAATAAAAAAACATGTTCTTTAATGTAATCAACTATGATATATGTATGGCGGAACACGCTCGCAATTACAGAGCTGAATGCGCAAAATACACTAATTTCACTTTGTCGGACTACCGTCGGTCGGATGGATCTATGTGCTTAGTGAATGAAAAATGCAATTCAAAATTGTATGATTGGTCCCTTTGTCCGTTGAATGCGAAACATAGCTAACAAACAAACCAGTTTGTTTCGGCTCGTGTACATCGATAATTATTCGCATACATGTATTCAGTTATTGATTTCTATGCAAACTGTCTATTTGTCGACTGCGGGGCCAATTATTATTAAACAAAGCGATTCATCGGGTCCAGTTATAATCATATAAAAAATATGTATGAAAATAACATAAAATCTAATAATACGTAAAACAATCTAGATAAACGTGTATCGAAATTGTAATAATGATAATAACATCGCCACATTCACGACTTAAACCAATTACATGACAAAAAAATTAAATAAAGAGATCAAAGCGAATGAAAAACTGACGTCGAAAGCTTATATAAAACAGTAGCAGTGTCCAATTAATGTTTGAAAGAGGGCAGAGACACGTCAGTCGCAAGCGGGGAGTTTATACTTCAAGAGTATTATTTGCGGGTAGCGGCAAAGGGAACGTCGCTGTCATAATTCATCCAACACGGCAATTCCCGACAGCCTCGCCGCTGCCTTCTTTGTCGCTAAATTGTAAGTACAGTCAGCGTGTCATAGGTTTCCACTGGCGAAGTGCGGTAAACTTTCGAGGAATCTAGAGCATTTTGCACTTTGTTATTAGAGCACTCCTAGCTCGAATACAACTTTGCTCTTTATGTCTTAAGAAAAACGGACGGTACATCTTAAAGTTACGTCTCTAAGAAAACTCGTTTACGGAAACTGAATAAATGTGATGATTACGTAATAATAAATACGTCTGAATGAAACTATTTTGCTCTTAACATTTTATAATAAACTAACTTCAAAGATATCGTAAGCTGAAAAAGTGTATATCAAGTCTCTGATGGTATCGAAGTACTATTAGGTCTGTTTCAAACAGCCGCGCCGTCTTACTGTGGGGGAATATTAAACGAAGCTCGAAATACTCGACATATCTCGTCAACGTCTCCGTCCGACATGCCATCTTGTGCCCTATCTAACTATACAGATCGTATTCTGCTATCAACTATAAATTTATCCGAAACTCTGTCAGTTCTATAAGCTGGTCGTACGTAATAAATGATAATGAGGTTCTATATAACCATAACCGAATTATAAATTTCGCTTGTACCGAATATTCCGCCATAAAAATATCAATGTAATTAATAACGTTTCAGTAGTGGAGTCCAGTAAAATATAATTACTGATTCCTCATTACCGCTCGGCATGGCCCCTCTGGACGTTCGTGCGTCTGCTGGCTTATGGTTATTAATAACGCTCGCTCGTTCGCCCCCCCCCTGACCTCTACCCCCCCGCTACCCACAGCCCCCCCCCCCTTCCTCTCCCCCACAGCCCCCTGGCCCTCACTCGCCCGCGATCAGCGCCACACGCCTGACATTTTAATTCCGAGCTCGGGTCTATACGTCCACCACGTGCCTCTCTACTATCGACAAACAATTTTATTCACTTCGCTCTACTTTAATTTAACTTAATCCGAGAGCCGATAAGTAACTTATTTTCAATTTTGTAACGGACTTAGTTTACATAACGCCGGCTCGAATCGAATGCAGCTTTTAAACAAACAACGAGTAGGATTTTTATGTCTTTTAGCGAGAAACATGTAACGTAATGAGGCGCTACGGCGGTAGAGTCTAGTGGGGGGCCGCTATGGAACATTGTTAAAATAGCATAATCGAGCGATATACCGTTGAACATCACTAGCTAGTAGCTACAAACGCTACAATGGCGGTCGGCCGGGCGCAGGTCGAGCGCAACATGGCTGCCTGGTAGGCGGTTCGGGAGACAGAGACAAAGGAACCGGCGGTTGTCTCCCTCCCGCTCGCACTCGCACGCGATGCCAGCATCGATCTCAACTCGCCGTGCTCGCCCCCAGCACCAGAAAGGCGGAACTAACAAAATTACAAAGCGCTTTCGAGCCGCTAATCATAAAATAAGATACGACGTTTCATTTCGACCGTACGACTCTCGAGCGATCACGACGCCGGAATGGCCCTTGACTCTCCAAATTCACTAGCGAGCGACGACGACGACTATCCGGCTCACGTCCGACTTCTTCGGAGCCGTACATGGTTTTTAGATTGCGAGCCGCTCTCATGCTAGATAGCAGATACTAGATTAACGTCCTAGATACCGTACTGAATATTTAGTTTGAAATATCTCGCCTTCAGCACGAAACTCGCCTGAACTAAACTCGACAACAAATTGCTTCCGTACATAATAATTACATCAGCGAATAAAACACAACACGACGCCGTACATTTTAAACTGCGAGAGGAATTTTTAATTACGTTTGTTTCTTTGATTGGTGGAGGGAATTGCTTCGGAGTCGGAAACTTGTACGGGACAAAAAGACCTTATCAATGTTGCAACAAAGCGTCTCTAAAAATAGCAAACGTTTCTGATGGTATACAATTAGAGATCCGTGTGTATCGGAGGAAAACCTTTCGCTACAGTGTTCCGCTCAGGCGGCCTCCTGATAGTTGAGTGACGTTTAATTTTAGCGCCGAACAAGGGCTGCTGTTTCGTTCAAAAGATTACGTATTTATAATAATGTGCATTACATAAAGATTGATTCATCCCATGTTATGTTAGTTTTAAATAATCTTACATACATTTAATTTTTTTCACAATTCTGTTTTTATACTCTCGTTATACTATTTATCTAATAATTGTAATGTTTAATTTGTCTTGTCTTTTCAATAAAAGTTATATTATTCAACAGAATGTCGTTATTAGTACATGAAAAAAATCACGCTAGACAAATCATTTTAAATATTTCATTTATATATATGTAGCAAGCACATTATAAACTCAGATAGTGTCAAGATCAAGTCGTGTGTGAGACACTGTCACCTACAGCGTCATAGCCTACATACATTAACCAAGTCACAAGACGTAGGTAATGCCAAAAACAGTGTTTCACATTTTATATACAAAATATCTTTATAATTGTAAGAATAACAAGATAGCAGTTTTTATTTCATAAACAACATTCTGATACTTTCAAACGTTTTCGACTCTGGTAATCTACCTATAAATATATTTTTATTTAAAATTTTTGAACCTTTACGAATGTCAAGACATCGTAAATTTAATCAAAATAATTACAATATATATTCCAAAATCGTTACTTTAATAATAATTAACATAATAAAACAATAATATAAATTTATATTTGAACGTCTGCTGTAATTAACTTGAACATAAATACGTTTAGCCTTCACGGTATTAAAAAAATCGTATAGTAATTAATGCATTAACATCGATTGATTCATTAAGCACGTGTTAAATACAGCTTAGATTTATCAGGTAAATAAATATATTTATAGAATTGAAGTATTATAAATATAGTTGTATTTATGTGTATAAGACTGAAAACTGTTTTATATGTGTGGAACTAAGACAATGTGTACTCATAGAATGAATCTTAAAAAACTAAAGATTGTTTCGATTTGTATGATGAATTTGATTTTTAATATATGCAATAAAACTACTGGTAATACAAAATATTTTAAAAAAGGAAAAAAAACGGAAAAATATACAAGCGACGAATCGAAATAGATACTAATTTTTCTATTTCATCATTGAGTAGCTCAGTTATTGTTCTAATATTATTTATTTTAAAATTAATAGCCAAAAAATTTTATTTAGATCATAGGATAAAAATTTGAGTCAAATTTAGATCAAAATTGATTCTAAAACATCATTAACTGGTATACGGATTATCAAGGTTAAAGGTTTAATGACTAAAGTTATGCAACGATAACTACATATACACAAACACATACATACATATACACACACACACACATACATGCAGTATAGTAAGTAATCCGCTGTTGAACTTGTTAAAAACATTTAGCCCGCCTAACTTACTTTGCTTGCGTAACTTGTTAATTCTCTTGAATTTATCCCTTTTAGTTTCAGCTCGCGTCAGTTAAAAGGGACATGAAACTTTAAGTTACATTTATTGATATTAAAGTTTATATTAGAGCTCTCGTACAGCTTAAAATTGTTATTATAAATATACACTTTATATTTAATATTTATAAGTTCGTTATATCTTGGTCGTGTCATATGTTTACAAAACAAAACAATATGTCAAAACTAATGTTACACAATATCGATGTTCATTACAATGAAACTGAAACACAAAAATAAAAATATAAAAACAACCAAAACCCCAAAAAACATCAAGAAAATGTAACAAAACGAACAAAAGAGAAATAAAATGAGAAAGCAAGTAGCAAAGTTGAGAAAAGTAAAAGTTATCCATTAGTAGGGGCGCGACCATAGACGGTTTATTGAAATAGTTATTGTCTGGGTGGTAATTTTTAAAAATTGCCTACATTTGCCAGCAGTTTAATGGCGGCCATAACAGTACGGGTTCATAGCCGGCTAGCTGCACGGCCATACTACTGTATATACAACGAGGATAATGGAACAGATTTACATATAAAATAACATCAAACAGACAACTTTCAACGTATTAATAAACCGAGATGAGTTTTAGATAAAATCTTTTACTATATATATTATATTGTTTAAGACATTTGTTCCTTACGATATCTTTAAAATTAATTTCTACATATGTATATATAAATACACTGAATAGAATCTTGTAACTTTATTCTATCTATTTTCATGATATTAGAGTTATGTTATTTCTGAATAATTGTTACAAACACAAATAAAACTAATGGAATAAGTTAAAATAAACGTTATCTCTTTGTTATTATACGTTATTCAATAATAAAAAATAACTGTAGGTACATAAAGATTATATTTTTCCTTCCATTTTCTCCTAATCATTATTTTCACGGCTAACATTTCCTTAGCATGTTACATTTCTCGTAAATCACTAATTACGCCTAGTTGTTAACTTTATCAAGGCCGTAACCTAATGAGATCGGATCCGTCCAAATTTATGTCGGCGCACTTGAATTTCGAAACCTCCTTAGGTCAAAGTGATTTTTTTCTTTATTTCTTTATATATAAAGGAAATGGAGAAGTTTTTCGCTCGGAACATGAGTTATCTTTTAATCAGAGACCGTCTTGAAATTGGTTTATGAGTGCAAATGTATGTAGTTATTGAATATTATTTTTCAATAAGTATAAAGCATAAACATTTAGTAGTACCTACTTAATATTTATTTATCATTAAACTGTGACTACACTGTGGACAGTTGAGTCATAAAACAGTTTTAGTCAAAGTAAATTTTAAAAAATATACGATACTTAAAACATTTCATACATTATAAATCCCTTTAGTACAGATCAGACAATCGCATCTGGTCCCATTCTTAAAGGTTTTATTTCATAGGTAAGTATGAATAGACCGAATGCTGCTTTAACCTTAATGAGTTCGTAATGAGCTCTACATCTATTAGTATGTATTAGTGTATGTATGTGTGTGTTTTTTGAGCTACATTTTCCTACCTGATGCGGAGGCTGCGCCCCGGGCGGCAAGTGGGGCGGGTGCTGCGAGTCCTGTGTCGGGGACAATCCTCCTGGAGGGTTCTGTGCTGTGCCGGGACTCGGGGCGCCCGGTGGATGGGTGGGCGGCTGCGGGGACCCACCACGCTCGTACACCTATTGTAACGATAACAATATTTTGAATGTTTTATTATATTGTGGCGTACTTTATATAATATATCATTATTATTATCTTTTGTTCCATCATCTTTATACTCATTCATACTTAATTGTCAGTTCATTATAATAAAGTTAAAGCTAATATTGAATAATATAACAGAAAGATATTTTTATTGGTAACAAATTATAAGAAAGATTACATGTGTTTAATATTTGGTTAAATCAGGATGTTTATTTTAAAAAACCCGCTCATTGATTTAGGGATGTAATAAATGAATTTCATTCAGTGTCAATTCAACAAATAACTATTTGTAACAACAGAGAATTATAATATTAGGACTTCATAAAAATAGATTTCAAACGGAACACAATGTCTTATCAGTGCTTTATACCTTAATGGTGTCACACAAAGGGAGTTATTGTAAACGATTATTATATAGTAGGAACTATACAATATTTTAATATGTTAGTCAAATTTGAAAGACTTGCTTCTTTGATAGAATCAAATTATAACCATTCTTTATACGTGTTATTTAAGTTCTAAGAGCTATATAATTCCATATAGGAATGTTTTAGTTTCGTTATAAATATAATACAACTATCAATGTAACATTCAAACGTTGCCAAGGATGTAAACCTTGACCGTGCTTTTATCGCCAGCTGTTATTTACGAACGGCGTCATGAAGCATTTCTAAATACGTGACGTTCAGTAGGGAAATGCTAAAATAAACTCAATTAACGTGAGGCCAATCACATTTACCAAGTTAAATCATTACGACTGACACCTTCGTAAAACATGTATTTAAAGATTCATATTAATTTTTAAAATATCTAATAGACATTTCCATAATAGAATGACTTGAGAAAATTTGTATAATCGTTAAAGATAATTGGTTAGAATAAAGTTAAATTTGTCATTTAAGTTAATTACTAATGTTAAAATGATTTACGTTGTTTTCATTGGAATTAGTGTTAAATATATTTATTGAAATCATCAAGGAATTAAGATAAGATTCTATGAATGAATTAGTACAAATGAGTCATCTTTGTATTCAAAGTCATTATTGAGGTTAAAAATATATTTTTAATTAATCATCGTCACACGTAAAACGTGTTGTAGCAATTTCTCATACACAATTTCAAGTTTTATCAGATAACTATTAAAATCGGCGAGTTGTGAAAGCAAATGCATACAATTGGTTAACGTAATCTCAACTAAACAATAGATGTAGGGCAGAAATGCACGTGCGTGGATCCGAAGGAGAGCCTTGGCCGTGCATACATTAACTTCTTGTTGAAAAGAAGTTCATTGTATCTCAGCATCTTCATACAAGTTTGACCTAGTGACCGATATTTAATGTTAAACTACTGCACATAGGTTATACATATAGCATATAGTCTTTATATACATTATAGGTACATATAATATCAATGTTATAAAGGATCCGACTGGTATATAGAGGCACGTACTCTATACTCCACAGCACCTGTCGAGAGGCTGTATTTGACGTGCAGTTCAATCGAGCGTGTTATGATCGACCTGTTAGTGGAAGTGGGACATTCCGCTATAGTTATATTATGATGAATCCATCCCTACTAATATTATAAATGCGAAAGTAACTCTGTCTGTTACGCTTTCACGCCTAAACCACTGAACTGATTTTAATGAAATTTGGTACAGAGATAGAGTTGACGTTGAGAAAGAACATAGGATAGTTTTTATCCCAGACTTTTGAAAGGTCCTCTTGGAAACGCGATATAACCGAACTCCACACGGTCGAAGCTGCGGGCGAAAAGCTAGTATTCAATATTCGTGAAATGATACAAAATTTTCAATACAACTTCATTGGATAGTCTAATTTAAATGAACATGGTTCTTGTGCATGTGAAACGTTAATCGAACTGAAAGTAGTATAGTCGATTACAGACAACGGTGGCAAGACGTCCTCGACATAGTTCTGCGACAGTCTCGCTGCCTTAAACGCAAAATGCTTTCACCGTTGGACGATATCTGCGTCACTCAACAACACTGTAAACAGAACCCGCTTTGGCATTCAGCTTTTGAAATGCTACACCAGCTATAAATACAGCTATACAATTTATTGGTATCACTTTTATATATGATCAGTTATTTTATAATAAATCAAATCTAGAATATCGTTTTAATGTTTGTTTTATTCAAAAGATATTATGAACTTCTTATTACATTTTATATCATTACAGTATTTTTCTTATAAGATGCAACACGATAAAGGTCATGCTTCAACAAATATTATGCATAAACAAGTTATTTTTAAACAACCTGAACACAAAAAACAATGATATGTTGTTTTAAATTTAGAATATGATGAGTCATCGATTATTATCTAATTACTTCCAAGAAAGAGGTCAAAATTTAAGAAACACTCCTTTTACTTTTGCTTAACTTTACTACTACTTTATAAAACAATGAACAAAATCTTTTTTATCTTAATACAAATTATAGTTGGAACATACCAATCCATATTAAAATCTGTCGAGGTATTACAGTAAGTCCATTTAACAACTATCTCTATGACATTGTTTTCAAACGATTATTTTTTTCAATGCAATCAATTTTGGGAATCATCTTTTGTATTTCTTGTTTCCATATTGTTTCGGTTCTACTTAATAGATAAAGAAGATTTAGTTAGACATTAGTTTTTGATTATCTTTCCAAAAATATACACATTTCATATTTTCCCTATATTCTATTTCACACTTAGTTCTTTGAGTTTACGAAATAATAATTTAATGAATATTTTGAACTTATAATATCTATATAAGTGGAATTAAGTTCTTTTCTATAATCATCATAAATGACTATAGGTATCATCAGTAAATTTCATTGACAGCGAGATATTGAAAATTATACCAGATGCTAATGTTTTAATCAGCTTAAAGAGGATTGAGTGTTACACTCCGGGAGGGGACAGTCCGAGGGTCTACACTTTGTAATTGGATATATTAAGTCTAGCTCGTCAATAGACGGATCACCTGACCGATAGGTACAGACAGTAGGTATACGTACAGTTACTCAACATTTTAACTTTAAAAACTTAAGTAACCTCTACTAAATGTTATTGAATTAAAAAATATATTTGATGATTAAGGATCGTTTATATTTACAGAAGCAATTTCATCAAGATTATATTTAAACTGTATAAATAAATGAGACGAATGAAAACGTTTAGAAATGTTTTGACGATCATGTCATCGGAATAATTTGAATGGGGATGGAGGTCGGGTAGGTGGCGGTGAGGCGGCCGAGGCGAAAACAAAACATAAAAAATTCCAAGAACTTTCGCTGAATAATTCGGGTTTTAAAAGTTTTTCTCTTCGAAACAGGAAATGGGGACTGAAGTCGGTCGTGTAGCTTGGCTGTATTCGCGCCGGTCGCCAACCAATCCATCAAAGGTGGGTGACTGGATCGGGTGTGGGGGGTGTGGGGTGCCCCCCTGGTACCCACATAAATATTGCGGGTAGGTTGAGTACAAACCCTTTGACCGAGTTCTGTTTACTTTCATTTTCACTCAGCTGACGGGGCCTCCGCCGCCCTGCCTATTCACCCTCACTATTATAATGCTAATTAGACGCTTCTCATCTCTATTTTCTCAGAACTATTACAATTGAAATACTAAATAAGTGGTACGCCGGTGCTCTCCACGTGTTTGACGTCGGAGATATAACGTCAAATTATTACAGCAGCTGTTCAGAGATAATCCCCCGAGCTGGTTAACCGGTGAGATGACACCCTCGTCACCGCTGTCAGAGAACATTGTTCTTTTAAAGTGGGTAATTTTGTATAGCAAAAGGCACGTTCACGGGGGCTCGTTGCGGAGAGCACTCAAGGTTGCATCGGGTTCGGACGCGGCAGACGGGGCGCAGACGTGCATTATTAGGTGGGTGACGGTACACCCGCGGGTGTGGAGGGTGGAGGGTGTGGCGGTGGGGTGCGCGTATCGTACGTCATCACCTGAGGCGCGCCCTTGAAACCGTCGTCGCATTCATTGCACTCGGATGCGGCCCGTATCACCAAGCCCATTGTATACAAGCATACACTCGAGATACCCCCTGACAATTTTACAGAGCCATGCCTCTGAATAACGTCATAATGCTGGGATATTGGAAAATTTGAACTAGCACACACGATTCCGATTATCATCGAAATTATAGTTTAGTAAAAAAACTGGCACAGTGCATATAATAAAAAGATTCCTAAACTATTGACGCGAGGTATAGGAACAAAGACAGAACAATAACATCATGGCTCTGCCCGTGAGTTCGTATTTAGTCACATGACAGCGGCAGTACTAATAACGTGAAGTGGTCTACACTCTACACTACACTGCACTGTACAATGAAACCATATAAATCACCAATGCGACCAGCTACAACACATAAACGTAAATTACACTTATTTCATTATATTTTTTATCCATTCATGTAACTTTATTTAAAATATAGACGTACAATAGTGAAATATTAGCACACAACAAACATGTGATATATGTATGTATATAATTATTTCATAAAAAACTGAACCCTAAGTAGTTAATTAATTTAAATTTTCCATGATACGTTGATGGTTACTACAATAAAAGAACAAAATACTCCGATTATAAATGTATGAAATAATAAAGTCTAAGGATATAAATACCACTGACATTCAAACAATAACTTTAAAATGTTGCAAGCACGATATGGAAAGAATCAATTTAATAATACATAATAAAATAAAAACCTATCACTTTTGTTATAACTGAAAATGTATATAAAAGAGTATTATTTAAAATTGTACATTAAAATAGATAAAATTTTATGACACAGTGTTTAATTGGAGAAAATGTTTATAGATTCAGTTGCCTTAATAATAATAGACAATGCTTTTTTATGGTGATCGTGTAGATTGTAGAACGAACATCTTGAATCCAGATTGTTAACACGTATTATTATTGTTTAAAAGGTTTTTACCACTGAAGTTGATGGACTTATAAATTAAAAAATTCCACGAGAATATATGACTATATGAAAATGAAATAAAATTTGTCATCGTGGAACAAGAATAGAAGATATTTTGGTGGTTTTTATCTAAGGCGCCGTCGTAAAGTTTCGACTAACAAAAATTTCGTATCAAAAAAACCCACTTCTGCAATTTGTTAGTATTATCAAATACATAGACATTTACATTTCCTGTTTATCAAACGTCTACCAAAAAACATACTATACAGAAATGTTCTATAAATAACAACTAATCAATGTGTAGGTATATTATGAATAACACAAAGTAACCGACTCAGTGACTTAATGAAAAGGAATGCAAAAAGACATATGTACATATATAAAAATAATTAATTAAATTTAAACATTTCGATTGTAAAATAATTATAAGATATACATATTTTAAAAGCTTGTTCAATATTACCGGTATTAACTGTAATTTTTATAAACTATGATTTCATTCGCACTGGAATAGTGTAATTATTAACTGTACTATATTTTGCGTTTAGTTTGACAGATACTTTGACTTTGTAGCAGATTATATGAAGGCGGATTTAAATATTTTCAAAGTTCAAAGTGATTCATAATTCACTTTAAAGTTTCCAAGTCCTATTTCATCCCTCATAATTCCTACAGATATTATCCGGCTTCCTCATGAACATCATATCTTTAATTTCTACATTTTTAGATTTACACATGTATAAAACGAAAAAATCTGTATACCTTCAATATTCATCATAGAAAGCGGCTAAAAACGCTTAAATTTTACCAATACACACGTAATGCACACATAATTGTCCTAATATAAAGTAACAATTCTTTTTTGAGCAATCTACATACCTATAATTTTCTCGGCATATATTATATTTATATAGGTAGGTACGAAATAAATGTATTAGTGATTCAAAAATTAGAAAAAAACTTTCTTTCCCTCCTCATTACATCAGTTTTGCTGTTTGATCGAAGAACGCTATAGTTCCAATATTTTTCTTCATAATACTCTTGTACCTCTTTCGTATTAAAGGTTTATATGAAAAAAAAACCATAATGACTCTAATTATCCGGTTTTGTTATTTTATGTTACTTCTAATGTATATTAATAAATAAAGGTTTTTTATAAAAATATGTTTTATAACTCTATCTTGAACAAATAAGTTTACCAGGTAACATACTATTTTTAATAATATGTATTATGTATTTTTAAACAATTTTGTATATACGTATATGGCTTTATAAAGATATAAACATGTACAATTTCCTGTGAACAAGTCACTTGCTCATTATTTTTTTCTAAAGGTATTCCTTCAATAAAAATATTTCCGTAATTATAGTAAACTTATTTATTTCTATATTTTTCGTATAATAGTGATTACGTCATATGCGCGTTAATTGGTGCATATCTAATGTAATATATGTAAGTTTAAACTACTACAAGTAAACTAAGCTAGATTTCAAAGTCAATACCTACAGTCTGTATATTTGGTACAGCTGAAGATTACTTATTCATGAGGTATGATCTAAAGCCGACCTTGTTCATATTTAAGATACACATTTTTTTGCCAACAGCGACTTCTAGACGAGTTCGCTTCAACGGCCCTGCTTCAAAACCGTACCTCCTCCGGCTTCGTTGCACAACGAGCTTACGTCAGCTAGCGAGAAGCGGCTTACGTCACCCAGGCATCATCAGATCAAACGAAAATAGAACTTAGGTTATACAGAATAGAGACTCAGTTGGCGTAACGAGTTTCTAAAGTATGATAGAGCGTTTATGTTCACGTGAGTGGATGAGGCTCCGACGCGCCGCCGGCTCAACGATTCTGAGAAATGTTCGAGGCTCTCTAGTTTCGGACTTGAATATCGTGTAATACGACTATATTCAACGTTTTTAAACGGCTCTGCTTTTGTTCAAGCTTTGAGATATTTTATATATAAACGATGTTAATTATTGAAAAGATACTTATAGTATTACGAGATCATACCTAGTAAAAATATTGTTATTGTAAATATAATGATTTTCTATTCGTGTAGCGTCTATAAAAGTAGAACGTTTATAAAGTTTCAACCTCAGCGCACGTATCTAGGTGTGCGGTGGGGAGACGTCGGATTTTTAATAAAGCAATACCGGGGCAACTTAACTTGGCTTTAGATAATGTCTTGCTGCAGGCACATTAAAATGCTAAGTTTCTTCACTCGGGCAGCTTAAGGAAATATGTTTTATAATATTAATATACAAAATTATGTTAAAGTAATTATTTATTCTATTGCTTATTATATTTCACTTTTATTTGTATGTATAACAAACAATACGCCTTCATTAACCAATCTGTGCAATGCGGTTACAATTTATGAAATAAAATTATAAGACAACAAAGAATAATTTGATTTATTTCATATAAACGGTAATCATATTTCGCTAAAAAAATCGATGTTTTGTACCTTCCCGGTACATTTATTATTTTTCCATTAGAAACTTCTCTGGAAATTAAAGAATACTTGGAAAAAATGTACCGCTTTGAAAAAACCGATCAAGTTTTACATTTGCCAACGTATTTAGTTAGTTTATAAAAAAATACAGCTAAATGCATACCTGAGATAGATAGATAGTTATGCTATTTGAAGTTTCAAATTTCCACAAAATAAATCAGAATAAAACGTGTTTTAAATGTATTTTTTATATGGTCGGATATAATTTGATATATCACAATGTCAATAGTATGGGTTCATATAATATTTAAATTTCTTATAAAACAAATACGTCGAAAAATATAAATATTACATTGGAGCAACAAAGTCCAATTTATAATTTGTTCAACAGAATTCCGAGCCACAAAATACTATTCAAAATTAAACTTATCAAAGCATACCAGTTAGGCCGGCATAGTTTTTTTTTACCGTTTGTAATTAGCGAGGTAATAAGCAAATACATTTAATTATTATGGTTTCGCTGTGTACCATAAACTGAAAATGGGGGCAATAAAATTATTCTTAAGTAATTCATAATTAAATTCTCATGAGCGGGTTTAAGAATTCAAAACTAATATATTTGACAATAAGTATACATATAAGTTAATAGTTGAAAAGAGTTTTTGGTCAAAAAGTTATTTATCACACCTTTAGAATGTAATCAAAGATATATTTTTATAACAGTTACAAAAGCAGAAGTGTAATTGTAGGTATACGTAGGGCTAACTAAATCTTATATAATTGATAAAGAAAAATCTAAATTAATTCTTTTATCGACAACAATAAATCCCGGCAGTGGGTATAAAGCAAAAAAAAATGGAGTAATTGGATACGTCGAGGTAAAAATCTCTTAAAATTCCTGTACATACCTGATGTGTGAAAGGCGGTCTCGAGTTGGGAGCCCCTGGCGGATACCTCGGCTGGTAGGAGCCCGGCGGACCGTACGCTCCGGGGGGCTGACCCCCGGGCGCTCCGGAGCCGTACGGAGGCCCATACCCGCGAGGTGGCTGTAATAGATAACGAAATACATCGATATCAAACAAATTATAAATACATCATGAAAACAATGGCAATATTGCATAATTTATTCACATATAAACCCACACTTGTTTATGACTCGTTAATTAGAACTGTGGCTATTCTTTATATTTAATTAAAACTGTTCATTATGAATGCATTAAATTCATAGCCGAAGTTAATTTTCGTTTAACTTCTAAAAAACCTAGTATGCTTCGTTATTAAATTTCGTCATATTTGACTACCATTTAATTCAAATTACAAGTACTAGATTTTTTTTGTACGAACATATATTTTCTTCCTTTAACATTTTTCTTTTCCAAAAGCTCTTATCAATAAACATATAAATGTATTTTATTCTATAATAAAGTTCCCACCGTAAAGGGCAATTATAGTGCCACTTATTAGTACTCAAACCCTCAGAAGCCAATGCAATCTCCCATCCCCTAAAATTATCAACTCAGCGAAACAGATGCTTAAAAATAAACAATTCGCGATGAAACCCTTTTAAAGTAACAAATATCTCCCTAAATAAATACAAATGCTCTATTGTAATATAAATTTTCCAACAGATATCGCATCTAAATAATTGACGTCCAAAGTAATTCTTTGTGCCTACAATGACGCCGCCCGTTTCAGTTTTCAGTTCTCATTTTGTTCTATGATGAAAATTTAATTATTCCGTACGAGCCGTGCTCCGATGCAAAACGAGCTCCGGGAATCGTTCGCTACCCTTTGATCGAATGTTTTACATCTAGAGAGGACGTTCGATACAAGACTCGACGTTCAGGAGCTACTGGGACCAGCCGATATGATCCGTTTGTTCACCAATTAGACTTACATTTTTACGAACATCGGGTGTTTTATAACGGATTCAATGATTTATAAGGGCGGTGTGTTGGGGGGGTGAGGGTTGCGATATGCGCGGGCGGGGGCGAGGGGGGTGTGCGGCGAGGGGTGTCGAGGGGGTGCGAGGGGTGCGCGGCGGGGCGGTCGTCGCGCTATTGGCGGACACTGCATCGATCGCACCGCGTACCTACTGCTAGCGGCCCGCCCGCGCCAGCCAGCCTCCTCCACCTACGTTAATAAGTAATCATCCGACCCAGCGATACCTTGGAGCTGGAACCACTGAGACGGGCCTCGCATCTCCAGTCTTTTGGAACAAAGAGGCACCACACAGGGCGACATCCGTATTGATTTATGCAGTAATTGACCTGCGGGTAGGTTGCGCAGCTCGCGCATACCTCAACACGCCACGCACCTATATTACCGCTACACGCATCGCTTTCATATGAAAGACAACACAATGCATTTCAATCAATGTAACGTTACACGAATTTAACGACCCATTTGCTACTCCGCTATAATGATGATCGATAAAACAAAGAAACATCATATTATTTCATCCTTATATTTTAACTAGGTATGATAGATCAAGCAGGAATTTTATTATAATAAATCCATTGCAAAATTGACCTATTGACTCACGTTGGATACCTCTTCAAGAACTTTGTAAAAGTTCATTTAATGTGAGGGGTTGTTGTGAGGTTTGAAATCATTTATGCGTGGAAAACGAGAGCAATAAAAAAGCATTTACCTCGTCGCTTACGATACACTTACGAAGAACATGTCTTATGACTTAATATTTTTTTCGATTTCCAAGTATTGTTATACAAGTCGATGAGGGAGGCCTATGTCCAGCAGTGGACCTTACATGGCTGAAGATAGATAGATAGATAATAAAGAAGTATCGATTAAAGCGAAGTAGCATAAATTGTATAATAAAAGGGTAACAATAATTTTTGTTTTACTCTTAAACATCGAATTGTAAAACAACACGGCCGTCAGGTATATAATTGCCGGGGGGATAATAAAATAATTGTAGTCCCATACGGCTTATATTGTACCTATCTCCACTTATTAAACTATGCATTAATTTTTCAGTGATTAAACAGGACTGACTATAAGTTTCATATATATATTAATAGGTAGTTAAAATGAGAGTCCAGAAGAAAACTGGGTAATATTAAAAAAAATATAAGTTAATGCAGGACCACACTTTGTCGTTAATTTGCAAGTATGTTAGACCAATCAAATTTAATTTCTTAATTTAAACTGCTTTCAAATTTCTAGAGCAATACATATGTCTAAGAACCTCAAATAAATCTTAGATATTATTAACAGTTTGTTAGGAGATCACTTAAAAGACTTGAAGTGTGATACAAATATCAAACATATAATTTTCATTAACATCAGGAGTTAAGTAAGGCTAAATCGTATCGAATACGTTAAATGATTATATAATAACATTTGATTTCTCGCCTCAATATAAACACGATCAAGGCTTCTATTTACAAAAGCAGGTTAAAGCGATAACCTGAATAAAAGCAGGTAGCCGTTCATGAATGAAGCCGGCGGGCATATTTAATTAGATATAATATTGTGGGTCGTTGCGACTGCATTGCATCAAATGAGACAGTGCAAGTGCAAACCGTTAGGTATGCGACCGGATTCCTGGCAGGTCGGCCCGCCCGTGTTAACACTTGCATCACACTTACTTCATTAATACTTAAACATTGAATACATTGCATTGATTCATTATATTACAGAATTAAAACTGACTATATTCTTTTGTAAACAACAAATGAATTGCAATGTTAAGTTAAGCTAATTGATTATTATTTTTACCACTGTTAAAGTGTCATTTTACCATTAAGATAGCAACTGAAATTACACAATTATCTTGTTTTAATAATAAAGTAACGACTAGAACCCCTCTCCTAAGACACAGTTTATTTAATAAAAACCTTGAGACAGGACAACATAATATGAACTAAATTCATACAAACAAAACAATCGGATTATCTATTTCTTGATAATCAAAAATAATAACAAGTGAAATACAGATAAATGTAGTCCCATCAATTTCAGATAAAATATATCAAGACACCTTAACAATAATAAACAAGTTTAATCATACCAAAAATATTACACAATGTCGGCGTTTGTATAACATATAAGAACGTTAATTAATACCAATGACAATTATGTAAACAATTTGAAATCAACTAAATTATTCTGATTGCCACACATCGTCAAGGACATTGAAGCAATATAAATGTGTAAAAGTAAACAGTTTACAACAGAAATGTTAATGACCTGTGAGTTATGACTAATGCAAGAGGTTGATAATATAATATATATGTATATATAATATAGACAGACATTCAGACAAACAGTTGCTGGCGGTGTACGCTTGCGGATATGAGCAAACATTACATAACTCTCTGATTGTGTTTGTAAAAAGTTGGGGATTCCCTTGACTACATGCGCATCCCGTATTGTACTTGTGTGAGTGTAACCTTGCCTTCTTTTTACATATTAAACGCCGTCGGGCTATCCCTTTTGCGTATCTACAAAAAGCCGGAGAATAAGTGTGTTGTGGATGAAAAAGATAAAAAAGAATGAGACGGGATTTACTGTTATTACTATTATTAGTTCATTTCAATGAGCTCCCGCGTCAAAGGATAAAAGGCACGCTGACCGGTTTACTTTTTATATATGTACCGGAATCAACAATAGGACGTTAAAGTTATTCATCACAATCATGCTTCCTGTGTCGACACGTGCTACAAACTACACGCATAAAGACCCGTGCAAGAATATATCAATCACTGACTGTAGTAATAATATATAGAAATAATACATTATATTTCATTAACATTGAACGTAATCTGTTATCGTAGTACAAGTGTTGTGATGTTATGTAACGGCCGTGTTAACGTCATACGATGACGGTGACGGACCCACCGGCGAACTATATATATACGAACGATGTAATTATAAACATCTATAAATAGTAACTAAAATGGAACCATATTATGCATGCTATTTCAGTACGTGGCGTCACTAGCCCCGGTGAATGTCAGGCTTGTGGTAACGGAAGGTGCATTGTCGGATAGATTAGGCAACAGGTAGTATGTACTGAAATCTCAGACTATGTAATTTTTTTTTACAAACTAAACTTGATCTTTTTAACTTCATAGAAATCGATGATGTATAAGCAGTTGCATCATAATTTAATTATTATTTTTTACATTCAGACAAATGTTCAGGTAGTTTTAAGAAATGTTTATGAATCCATATTAATAAATTCAGACACTAATGACATAATTCCTTTACAAACAAAATATCTTTGTGGAGTTCAATATCTCACACGCAACAAGTGTAAACAAACGGATTACAAGTGTTACTGACCTAATAAAGCGACCCCTTTTCCACCCAAGACGGTTCAATAAAGAACTCCCTCTAGGTACATACTATCTGACGTATATAAGAGTGGCGGTCGTGAACTTTGACGTAGATAACTAAATGTACAGAACGCCCGCCCGTTAGGTAACCACCGGCAAGTCGGAGATTAAAAATATTTACCCCTCCGTCAAGTCAGGATTTTCTATTATGGACGCTTACTTCGTTTAAAACATTCAGTGCATAGTACCTCTCAAGAGATTCGTCGAATCCCTCTCGTTTTTAGCATGATGATTGAATTGAAAAGTCGATGTTATGTCATAAAATAATCACAAAAAAGAGGAGAACTATTAATACAACGAGTAAAAACAAAAAACAGTAGATCTAAACAAAAGATACTAACACTTGTAACTGGCAAATATCAAATATTTCGCTAAAATCACTAGAGTAGACCGGAAAAATACTCAAGTATTTGTATGTATGAGTCATTTACCTTTCTGATTGCGTTCAGACAGAGATCCTTGGCAATAGCCCCTTTTGCATTCATATATATTTATGGATGTATGTTACGTCATACGTTTATATCATAAAAGCTAACATGATGTTTAACCTTCTAGGTTATGAGCATAAGCAATTCATTTCCTTTAAAACGTATAACAAGCGACATAACAGTATTAACGACCAATGCGTTTTATGACATGGTACGGGTACATTATTGATTGTAATGGACATCATTGCATCACGTAATTATATTCACATTAATTAGAATATTATAATTAAAGGAAGTTCCGTTTTTACACCTGAGGCCATTTATTCAAAGCCATGAGTAAATTACGTAACAATAACATCTATAAGCATCACAAAGGCCGCATGATTAATTAACGTTTTTGCGGACAGATATCCGTCTAGCGGTTTCGTACAAAAGTTAATGGGCTTGACCTATTTGTCGGTCCCTTGTTATTAATCCGACGTTTTGATTTCAACAGACGACGTGCAAAGGGGCCGGCAATTACATGACGTCATGGTGGTTTAATGACCCCATTACAATATGTATGAATGAATGCAGGTTGTGCGACGATTGGAGCTTGGTCCCCTAATACAAATTATTACGTAAGATTGTTTCAACTTGACCTTATGGATACGGGAATTACGCACAAGTAGTTCACATGTAATGGGGCTCACTGTAATGATCAAATTAATTACGTATTTCCAAAGCGTTTTCAATGTACGCAAATTATAATTACTAATAATATCAGTGATTGTATATAAAAATATGAACATCATGTTTTGTTTAACTAACACAAATCAATAGTACAATATAAATATCAATACGAGATGATCTATGACAACATCTTAAGTATTGTAGGTCATAATTTCACAATCATTAAATCATTCAGTTAGCCAACAACGGTGGCCCGGAGTTCCATTATATGGGCAGCTCTCACAATGACACGATAATCGAGCAGCCGGGTCCGAGACGGCTAACATTGATTTTACGAAATCCACATCACGGTCTCAGTCGGGCCATTCATCTCGTTTTCATGTACACAACGCTATTGCGATACGAAAGTGAGAGCGAAATTTACTCGGGCTTGCAGTACGCACCGCAACGTACCGCCCTAAATACGAACAGAATAGAATATCGATCACTAACATGTTAATTGATACAATTAAAGGCGCTTACTTGTAACCGTGTCAATGCCAACACGAACTAAATGTTGTACATATTAACTATCGTGTGTCGTATGTCGTTCGTGTGGTCACCTCTGTAATCTATCGAAACTTTCTGCACACGCGTATGAATGAAATCGTTCGTCAGGATATGGAAATGAGATCGGAAGCCAAAACAAGAGCACAACACACTGTATAACCACATCGAACAGCTAAATCTAAATATAGCGGGCGCCGATATCAGCGGCTCGCCCTTGAACCAGTCGCACGGAAACATTTTATTATTATTACCGAGCTGTCGGCGAGCACGAGTATGTCGGGTCGACGACCCCACGACCACGTGTCTCCTTATCGACAACTATCTAACACGATTGTGGGTAAACAACATGCCGAGATAAATGACTAATTTCAAAACACTTGTTTATTTGTGCCATTCATAAATTAATCAGCATATCGTCAAAACGATTTCAATGACAATGATCGTGTATCGAATTGTTAGAATAGCTATTAATAGCTTGATAACAGAGCGGCGATAATTGTGACTTAATAAGATAAAATTACATAATGTTGTGAGAACTCCTTATAATACCATGACTATGACAGCTTAGAAAGTAGTGAACAGATATTCATTATTCTTAATCTCAGTCTCAGTCAATAGCGGTTCTGATTCGTAACAAGGATAATCTCAATAAAAGCAACGAGCGAAAGCCAATTACGAATCTGCATATAAAAAAATGTATGAAATGTTCCAACCCCTTTGAACAATAAATGAGCAATTCAAAAAGCCTTGAGTGAAGAGCGGTTGCATCGTGGGAAGTAGGACAGTATTACGTAACCGGTATTTGTTCGCCGGCCAACCTACACAGGTACATCCTTACAAATGCGTACGACCTTGAATGTGAACTCTAAAGTGTAAACAGCACGTGCTCGATGCATTGTTTTATGGAGGCTAGTTGTTAAACGACATCAAACGAGCTAGGATTTAAAACCGAACAAAAAGAAAATTCTTACTGACTTCGAAATATCAATTCAATTGCGATAGAGATAGGATTCATGGTTAAAGTTGAATTTCTTGGATAATTGATGGGACATTTATAAGTCAGCTTTGAGAAGCATTCGATAGTGACACTAACAAAATTTTGACTGTAACACACAAATCTCTCGAATTCATCAAATTATTGCTAAAATAGTAGAACAAGCTAAAGCGAACAACATACGTTTTATTTTCAATCACCGTAAAGTAAAGTAAACCCCATTCGTATATAACGAGATACACGTGTCAAACGTCAAGTTCCATTCACTTTGATGCCCTCAAATACATTCCGGCGCCGCAGCCTCTACATAATGTATGTACGAGGAGTGGAAGCGGCGAAATGACGTCGAATCACCGCAACCCGACCGACTTTACCCCGTTCTGTAATTGAGAGACGAACGCACAAATCTCCGCTATGAAGCGAGTTATATTTGCCTACACATCAAACTTTCACTATCGTCGTACGCTTTCGTTTTTATATCCGCTAACAGCGACGGCCAGCTTTGTTATTCTTCCACGAGAATTTTTTCTTTTTTTTTTCCGTCCCACAACCGACACACACACATGGCCGTGGAAAAATTCGGTGTGCATTCATATTATTTTTTGGACGTAAAAGAGCTGTAGCAGAGGTAGCTTTCAATTGATACTCAAAACAACTTTCTTTGTGAGTTAGTCAAAGACCAAAAGGATATAGTGATCATATTGTTCTAATAAAGCTTTTGATTCTGATAATTACTCTAAATTGCATCAATCATGATGAAATATCTAAATAATTTGCACTCATGAGCTTTTATTTAGACATCTTCTTTTTAATAGGTTAAAAACAGTTAAATTGCATGTGAGCTATTGTCTCTATACATAACTAAGGATTAAGTGTAATGTTCTTAAGGATAAAGTGTAGTTTCTTACAAATTCATTAATCTCTAAGAACACCAATTGATTTATTTACTAGATGTTTAGTAATGTGTGCTAGTAGGTACCTATATGTCAAAATTCAATACACTTGCATGAGAAAAGAATGAAATGTATTTTGAACTTTTCATTTAACTTGTGAGAATAACACAGACCATGTATAGTGTTCGAGTGGAATCAACTTGTTAGTGAGCAAAGCTGCAAGAAGCAACTAGTTTTATAAAATATATTTCAATTTTGAAAATTGGGGTCATTAATATTTTTTATTAAAGTAATTTCATATTTAATCATACTTTAAAATAAATTTTCTAGTTTCATTTCAGTATTTTATTTTTTTTAATTTTAAGTAACAACCTACCGCTTTCCAGTTGTTATGTATGAGAAAAATAAATTATAATGTATTATGTTATTAAAAATATGTATAATGAAAAAATAACTATTTACCAACTCAAATTTATTACTTTATAACATCATTGTGTAATATCTTTTGATTGAATCAGTCCCCAAAACTTTCAAAATACATCTCAAATTCATTGACTAACTAAAACATGACTATAAAATTAAAACAAAATATATATTAACACAACTTTAAGTTATACCTGTGATACTTTAGTTATTATTGATTTTATGTATGAACCTATTTGATATATTAACCAATAAAATTAATTTAACCCTTCAGTCGAACTAGAAAATCTAGGTATTTTATTTTTCTGGACTTCATAATTAAGAAGGAAATTGCAATAATTACATCAATGAAAGTACACACACCTTGTCATTATTAACAATCTATAATATAAGATGACATTACATTTGATAATGATATAAGAAGTAAAAAGTTCATTGTGAGTCAGACTGATGATGATCATTTTTCTTTAGATTGAACGAATCCATTATATTGGCCCCCATTAATTAAAATTAAATTTTAATCCAGTTTATATAAAGAAATAGTTCATATTCTATAAAACACTATACAAAATGAAACTACATGAAGTGGTGTATATATACAAATAGAATAACTACAAATAGAGTTAAAAAAACAGCAGCCTGTGTAAAAATTCTGAAATACCAGTAAAACAATTTGCTGACATAGTTTTAGTGAAAAAGAGTTATTTGTTGATTGGAGATGGCTTCACTCTATCTTAAATTGAATTTAGTGATAAAATAATGTAGATCATACTAAAAGGTCCGGTATTTTATTACAAAAGTTTTATTACTCATATGTTGACCAAATTTATAATCAAAGACAAAATTTCTATAAAAATGGGTCTATACATTAGACTAAAAATTTACTAAATAATGAATCCAGTCAAAGAAATCTTGAAAATAAAACCATATATGTTAAAATGGTATCAATTAAATTTTAAACAAGACTAGAAATCCATGAGATATATGACTTTAAAAAACAATTTGAAACAAAAATTTCATATTTGTTACTTTATAAATTCTATCAAAAATATAAATTATACATATACATATCTGCCATTGGTTTCAATCATCAAAAGAAATAATTATTTTGAATTTCATTTAAACATACAAAGAGTTCCCAAGCATTAGACTTTTGATAACATTATATACAATCCCAATATATAACATGTAATAATACTTTTCTCTATATAACCATATAAAACAAATACTAATGTCCAAAATCCTGTAAGTATAAGCAGTAATGCTAATAGTTCAGCGTAACAGTGTATAGCAAGATGTGTTTTCCCCGTAAATATAAAAATGGTCAAATATAATCTCCCAGCTTTACTTTTTTAGTTAGCACTTATGAATTTACATCTTATTAGAGTTCAACACTGACTCAAAATATAATACTCTACTTATTTGACTAAAATCAAGACCATTAATAATTATGTCTAATATTTAAGTAAATAATTTATATCAAGCAATACATATTTTGAAACTGAAGTTTAACACTCACCGTTGAATTTCTATATGGGCTTCCTTGAGGATTGTACGGCGGCATAGGCCTAGGCGGTGGCCACCCGGGAGCAGGTCCATAGCCACCCGGGGGCTGGTCGTAGCTGTTGGGGTACCGGTGAGGCGGCGCTCCACTAGATTGCAACAACGAATTCAAGGTAGGCGTAGGGCCTGGCGCCTGCGACACTGCTTGTCCTGGGAAGAATCGCTGCTGGGGCGGGGGCCTCGGTTTGCCGGGAAAACCTGGCCGTTGAGCATAATAAGGATCTGCGCCTTCTGGATAACGGTACGAGCTGTACTGGTCCGGTATCGGCCGCTCGCCGCCCCGGTCGTGGCCCGGCGCCTCTCCAGCGTCGCGTGGCGGACCCGGATCGGCCGACATCGGCGATTTACTCTTTGTGTTCACAACGCCATCGGGCGGTACGCGCCCGATGGACTTATCGGTGCCGTTTTGTAATAAAGCGTTCCGAGATTCACTGAGCTGTTCTGATGAATTCTGATCTACGTTCGCTTCGCCACGCTGAGACTCAGCCTGCGTCGCAGCCATGTTCGGCTGGTGGCGGCCGTCCCTGCTTACACTAGCTTTAGCGATCGACCGGCTCACTTACGTTACATCGAAAACGGGCGTCGGATTGCAAAACCGCGACGCGGACACTTCCATCACTAATAAGACGAATAACTTCGCACAAATTGTAACGCAAATCTGACGAAAAATCGTTCACCGTTGCACACACATCGATCACATATCTAATCCATTCGCGTAAACGAGGTTATGGAAAAGGTTACATATCTAGCGGGCGCTTTTGTCATGTTCAAATCACACATTTCATATCACTGGCACATTTATTACAACACTACCGATCCAATCACTTGTTACAAAACTCATTCCTATCTACAAAATTGATGAAATACTTAAAAACAGAACAATAGAATCACGAAACTTCCAAAATTATTAGCGTCCGCCATTAGCGGACTTGAAATTCTACAGCGCTTGACGACGCTTCTGCCTATCTTCACTTCGGTGAGATAAAATAAAAATATAGGTGCCGCAATTGCGATAGGCACTATTTAGTATTTTGAGAAATTTTTAATTCGAGTCGTATTTTAAATTCAACAGAATTTTAATGCTCTAATCACTAAATAGAGAAAATTGGAGAAAAATTATCTATGCATGTTTACATTTCCGCAATACTCGAACCACGTAGTAACTACAGTTCTACCAACAACAAGAATGCTATGACTATTTCCGCTGGCGCCAAGACATTCGTAGCTATGTTCATTCTTTAAAAAATAACCTTAAATCAATAATACATTATTATATTAATAAGCAGAATGCACAAATGAATTTTTTAATCCAATAATATTTTAAAAAATCAATAAATATAAAATATATTTATATAAAAAGGTGGTGTTAATGGTTAATAAGGTTATATTTTCTAAATGTATAAGCTGTATTGCCAACGTTAAGACATGACAAACATAAAAATAGATAAAATATTAACTTTAAAAGATTTTTATTCAAGTTAAAAATATATAGTTTTGTATATACAATCAATTGATTATTTAAACTAATATTTTTAAACTCATATTTAAAATAAATGTTTATTTTTGAATATTGGGCTCATTTCAGGAGAATTTTTTAAACTCCTTTTCTAGATGCAAGGTTCTTAATTTGTTTTTTCAATTTGAAGATACATGGTAAAATTCCATATTAATACTTTTTTTTATATATTTTATCAGCGGCTAATTAATAAAGTTTTAAAATACATAATTTCTTTTAAAATGTTTTAAAATAATTCTTATTTCAAAAGTCCCATTGTTCTATTGTACGAAATTCTGTTTAAATATCTTTAGTTTAAAAATCTCCCAGTAAATATCTTGTAAAATTGTTTCTAGGCATTATTCAGTTACGATATTTTTTTAAATAAATATAGATGTGCCTATGTAATTCGCATTAAAGGTTCCTAATAAGTTTGCCTTTATTGCTATTGAATAAAATTGTAAGATTTTTATTGACTTGTCCTAATTGAATTTGAAGACTTATGTTTCATTATGGAATCATGGAACTTCCATATCAAGATGATCAGAATAATTATTACAGTGCTGCCTTTGATTTCTTCCGTTTATAATGAAATATATAGGGAAATATAGAAAATCAATTTTGAATATAATTCCTTAAGTTATGCAAGTCTAAGTGAACAGGCCCAATAACCATGTTTCGTTTTAGTTCTGCAATTTTGCAATTTTCTTGGGTTGAGTAAAGTATTAATAATTTTTAAGGAATAAAACAAAAAGTGTTTTAAAATTGTTTATATTTTGTTGTACATAGAAAGTATTGTTAACACGGATGCAAAAATATTTTCTTTAATTTTTTTTTCAAGGCTTTAAATTTTAATAACATTAATATCACCAATTTACCATTATTTTATAACAAATTTTGTCACAAGCATTCGTCATAAGTTGTTAAAACTTGTTAATATGGCAGTTACAAACCATTCAAGGTGGAATAAAACAGTAATTGCCAAAATTCAGAACCAAATTAAATTGATGACTTACAAAAAAATTAATCGTTATGGATTTAATTTTTACAATTCGTTATTAAAATCTTAAATGAGCAAATAATTTTCTTCGAAACCATAATAAAATATAATTGAGCGAGTGATTGCAATTTATCAAGGGTATTAATTAATATTTTAGAATAACATAACATTTTGGATATTGGAAAAATTATAAAATATATCAAAATACATATAAATTAGTTATGGCATAAAATTATTCTAAACTATAAAAAAATCTCATAATAACCTAGTTTAAGTACAAAGATTAAGGTATTCACATCAATAAATTTACTGACAAACTGTGATGACAGATTTTGTGGACAGCTCGTTTTGCTCACTCATTAAACACTACACTCTTTAACAATTTCGAGTTTGTGCTTAACTGTACACATATATTACAGAATACTTATTCTGAAAGCTCACTTGAGATCTATTTACATTACTTCATCCAATGGGAATGTATCAATGCATTAGAAACCGTTTATGCTACACAAAATACTTTTCTAATACTGCTATAAAGTCTATTGAAAGAGTCCACGCGAAATTTATTATGTGTCTGACACAGAGTTTTGTTTCACTCTATAGTCTAAAATTTCTACATCAATCAGGAGGATCCGAATTCTGCCATCCAGGTCAGGTATTTCTGTATGTCACCTTTTGACACAGATTTATTGCATTTGGACAGTGCTTCTAAGAAATCCTGCCTCGTAACCGGCAGATCTAGTTCTTCCTTGGCAAGTTGTTTTATCTGCTCCGGTTTCAAACCAGCTATTTTTCGTCTCATCGACATCATTGAGGCATCTCTGAAACAGAAAATTTTCGTTTAAATGTAACAAGATAGTATTTAAAATTATTTTTAACAATATGTCATCTAGAACACTATTTTGTCTCCATTTTATTTCTGTATTTAGTTTTTTTGTGTACAAATAACAAGATTTTAATAAATTTCATGTATTTTAATGTCATTTTTAAAATCTTGGCCTACACTCTCAAGGCTTTATGTATCTTACCTGCAGACATTAGTAATATCAGCTCCGGAATATCCATCAAGTTTCTTTGCTATCAGTCTCAAGTCGACCTCGGGGTCAACTTTGACCTCTCTAAGGTTAATCTGCAGTAACGCCTCTCGACCTTCTTGTGTTGGCAGCGGTATGTATATTCGTTTTTCAAGCCTTCGCCGTAACGCTTCGTCAATGTCCCAAGGGAAGTTGGTCGCAGCTAACACCATTACCACCTAGAAAGATAATAATCTGATAATATATAACATACATACATAAGGATTAATGTATTTACTAAATATAAGAACATATATTTAGTATATTGACTAAAGTTTATTATATTGTCGTAAGTTTGGGTGTATATTGACGTAAGTTTGGGTGTTTACATTTAGTTGTTTTGTAATTTATTTAATTAAAAATGGGAGTAGCGTTTAAGAAATAATGAAGTAAATACTTATTTGTTCTGATGCTAACATACAATAAGGTCGAAAGTACAAAACGTGTTTTCAAAGCAATCACAAGGTTGTAAACAATAGAGTCATCACCATGTATTTTTATTTTTAATCCATATGATGCATCCTTGATTGAAGAAAAAACGCTTAAAATAGGTATATTAAGTATATAATAATATCAAGTCCCAAAGTATATTCGAAACGTATCTAAAAACCAACTAAGCATTGCTCGTAGTTTAAATTATATAAATTATAAAGGATTATTGTAAAGATTACTGCATATCTTAAGGTGGTAGAGCCTAGCTGTAGTCAATTTACTATAGCTCGAACATGGGCTGGCTCGACCGGGGAAGTACCACCCTCTCACAGAAAATCGGCGTAAAGTAGTCTTTAAAGGCTGCGTTTCGTGCGGTGAGTGAGAGAGCCGGTTGCCCTTTCCCTTTTCCCAACCTTTCCTTTCCCTCCCTTTCCCACCTTTTCCTCCTCCTTTTCCCCAATCAAGGGCGGCAACACATCCGCAAATCTACGTTGCGGATGTCCATGGGCGACGGTAACTACCTACCATCAAGTAGGCCGTCTGCTCAGTTGCCCCCTTTTCCCATAAAAAAAAAAAAAAAAAAATATCTGCCTGTTAGTGATTAATTATTTGGTTAACTATATACTATACTGTATACAATCTATTATAAAGTTAGTCAAGTGTGTATATTATGAACCTTAGCTGGTTCATCCGTAGCTGAGCCGAGTCCATCCATCTGCACCAATAATTCTGACTTGACTCGCCTTGAAGCCTCATGTTCACTGTCTGAACCACGTCGGGAACACAATGAATCGATCTCGTCTATGAAGATAGTACTGGGAGCGTAGAAACGAGCCTGGGAGTGACAAATATACATAAAGAAAAATATTTGACAACTTATATAGTAGAAGGAAGTTAAAATTGTATTCTTCTCTACCCATAATTGATTTAAACAATTTAATCAAATATTTTATGGCACATGTTTATCAGTAGTACTATAAAAATGTAAGAAAAATGAATAACATTAAAATTTAATGATAACGAGTTCAAACAAGAGATTATTTCATTTTATTGAAACTAATATTTTTTAGATTATCTCTGTTATTTACATAACAAGACCAACTGACAGATATTCACATCTCGTCTGTCAGTGATCACGATTGCTGAAAAATAACCGAAACGTCGGGAGTATGTAGTTTTTACAAAAATAACGCACACGTCGTATATCCAAAAAATATTAGTTTCATTGAAATGAATACTCGCGTTAGTATTACATCTCATTGTTATTTCATGGGGTATTTTGTTTGAAATCCTACTAATATTGTAATTGCGAAAGTTTGTGTATGTGTGTATGTTTGTTACTTCTTCACGCTCAAAAAATTGTATACAGGAACTTGACGCCCAGGAATAACACATAGGCTACTTTACATCCCGGAAAATGTTCGACATTTCCTCATATAAGCGAAAAACAATATTTACTTAATCGAGAACTCAACTCCTAGCCAAAACATTATCGCTATGTACCTTTTACCATTGGGCGATACTGCGGGCGGAAAGATAGTACAATATAAATGTATATAATTTTTGCATATATATTAACTAACCATTTCAAACAGTAGTCGCACCAATTTTTCAGACTCCCCTCTATATTTTGATGTGAGTGTTGAGCTCGACACATTAAAGAATGTTGTTCCACACTCGGTGGCCACTGCTTTAGCGAGCATCGTCTTCCCTGTGCCAGGAGGACCCACCATCAGCACACCCTTCCACGGACGACGTATACCCTGGAGTTATAAATAAATGAATAAATAAATAAATAGTTAAATTTGTAATGATACATAGTAGTATGTAGTTTTTTAGAATAATAATATAGGCGTACTAATTCGAAAATATTAGTTTCATTTAAAATGAATACTCGCCTAAGTCTTCGATCCCATTATATAATGTTTAAATAAAACGAATATTTTCACATGTACTATGTTATTTTACATACTAACGACGTTTTCATCTCATATGCTTGTGATAACGGTGGCTGCAAAGTAACCGTAATCGCTAGTAGGTTCAGTTCGGGTAAGATCGTCTGGAGGGTAAGATTGTCTAACACGAATAACTACTAATTCAGTAGAGCTACAAAAATGGGAAAAATTAGGGGCACAATAAATCCATTTAAGTTCATATTAATTTACAAAGATATTGCTATACGTAGTATGAACGAAAAAAAACGCGGTTGTTATTTCAGTACGCTAAAGCACTTGCATCGGGAGTGCACCACGTTGGTAAAAAAAAAGGTATTTGTGTTGAAATATCAGTTATTTGGAGGATCTATGCAAGTAATTTTATTCTTCTATGATATATCTTTGTGATAGTAAATTACATTAGTAAAATATACTTTTTTTACGAAGTTATAGTTGATCAAATTAAAAGCTAACTTCAAAATAGGCCGTGGCGAAGTCCGTCTAGGCCATGGAGGGTAATGAATGTCATATGACGGTCTTTGCCACATACAGATATTATCAACATTTTTTTTAAACCTTTTTAAAATCCACATTCCAAATCAGAATTCTCACGATTGATTGGGCAGATTTTGTCTGGAATAAATGCCCAAGTGTTGCGAAATGGTTTCAGAAAACCTGGTATTTACCCAGTAAACCGTGATGAAGTAAATAAAGGCAAATTTGATACGTTGAAACTTATACAATGTAATGAAATATTTCTGCAGCAGAGAAATAAGGAAAATATTTTGACAGAAGAGCAACAAGACACTGGGCGAATTCCAAAATCTTTAGTGTCAATTTTACTTGATTTTTTTAATATAAAGTTGTAGCCGGATAGTGCAGATGAATTCAATAGTCGCAACACACCGCCAGGAATAACTGTACAGAACCGTATTATTATTACCTTTGAAACCGAGATTGGTGGAAACGTGATTTCCGTAGAACCGAAAATTAACAATGAACCGTTATTAGACAATTCTGTACCGTTATTAGACAATTCTACTTATTAGTTATTATTAATTGTTTACAACCCCTGAATGACGGCCTTCGCCGACGAATGTAGAATCTAGCCAAATGAGTGAAATAAAATGTTATTTCTGCGAGTTAGGGTGCAAATATGAACTGGCATTCACACACATATTCATTTACTTAGACATTGACATCTATCACTTCGCTAGCTACCGCTAACTAGAGAATTTTGCCAATAGACGGTCTTAGCCCACATGGGTGCCGAATCCGTCTTATTTCACTATTTAAAACAAAAATTGTTTATTTTCTGATCCAATGCTTTAATTGTCATTTTGACACGTTTACAGTTTGGTCAAATAAACATGCTATCATTTAGTTCAACCATATTTAGAATTAAGGTTATAGAATCGCCAAACTAAGACCATTTGTATTTTTTTTAAATTTTATATGCCGGTCTTCCCCGAACTGACCCTATATACAGGGTGACTGGTGAATTACTATCAATATTTTAGGAGAATACTCGGTACATGATTCTCATTCGAATTATGTAAAAAAAATAGGCACTTAATATTTGACAAAATTTCCGTATAAATAAGTAAAGTGTTGACACGTTCCAAGTGTTCAAGTGTGGACGCGTGCGGCGGCGTGCTGATACAACAACACGTCGCGACACGCGTATGTGTGAGTGTGAGTGTATACCTAATCTGTAGGGTGTTCACACGATGCGTAATTAATTACATAACTTTTGGTTAACTTTACTTAGAAGTTTATTAATATTTATGTTATATTAATTTTTATTTTGTCATATATGATCGTCAAATATCACGTCCTCAAATATCGATAGTAATTCACCAGTCACCCTGTATAGTTTTAAAATCATAATAAAAAAATAGTATTACTTAGACGAATACTCGCAAAAATCTTTGATGTCATTATATTATAATATTGTAGTTAATATTTGTTATAAACCTTAAAGAAGTCAGGCATCCACATAGGTAGGACCACAGCTTCTTCTAACAACCTCTTGGCCTCGGCCAGGTCAGCGATGTCATCCCATCGGATGTTGGGATTCTTTTGTACTATATCACGTTCTGGAATTATAAAAAATATTATATTATTATCATATATCTTCTATATATATAAAAATGGATTGCTGTTCCTTAGTCTCGCTAAAACTCGAGAACAGCTGAACGGATTTATCTTATCTTAATCTTGAAATGTTCGTGGAGGTTCAGGGAAGGTTTAAAAGCTGAAAAAATTTTATTCATTACTGGGAAAACCATAAAAACAGCCCTTTTCTATTTCCCATACAAACGTTTTTTTTGACATTAGATTTGACAACTAACTAATATGTCAATAATTCTGTCGCACTTCAAAACACGGAGATTTATGGCTTACAGGTAAATTCCAAAAATGTAAATAAAAAAACGTAATAGATATTTCTTGATTATAGGACGATACGAAGTTCGCCAGGTCTTCTAGTATAATATAAAAATATTCTAGAACATTTATTAAAGCATTTATATAATTTTGGGATATAAAAGTCTAAGTCAATTTTCTGATATTTCATTAAATAATGTTGATTTATTATTATAATTAATTATTGAAAATTACCAGATTTTATATAAAAAAACCTCTAAATATTCTGAGATGCTGGTCTATTTGGAGTGTATATTAAATATGTACATAAAAATCTCACAACTACTTATAAGTGATATATCCTTTGTATATTATTTATTTAATTTTTATTGTATGTTCTGTTTCACACTCATGTATGTAAGTGTTATAACGGTACTCTTTCGTGAATACAAGTATCCGCCCACGCTTGTGTTTAACACAATTGAAATACTGTTACAAGTTAAAGACATTTGGGCTGTTTAAATATAATATGAATGTTATTTGAATAAGACATAAAAATTTAATGGAATAAAATTAGCATTTACTGAATTAAGATAGTACTAACTACTGATCGTGAATGACAACTATGGGGCTATTTAAACCACCAAGACCTTTGTTAGTTATTGCTTGTCCAATTACTTTTATTTGTACAGTATTATATTATTCTACCCCCATTCCCCCCTATGACTGTCACCCAGTATTTCTCTTTAATATTTAATAACAATTGTTTTTGATCACTATTTATTTGATTGTTCGGTATCTGCCCCTGTCTTTTCCCTATATCTCTTTTTGTGACGTTTTTAACCCATATTAGTCTCTTTACCGATATGTAATTACATAATGCTCCTTGTCACTATTTCCTCATTGTTCTGTATTAACCCCCTACCCTCATACCAGTCTCTCACCCATATGTCTCTAATCCATATTAGTCTCTACACCAATATTTATTTACATCATTATCTTGACTACTATTTCCCTCACTGTTTTTTATCTACCCCCCCCCCCCTCTTCTCCCTAGTGTTCCACATACGTGTCTCTACCCCCCGTTTCTCACCCAACATATCCACGAGGTCCCCGTCAGCAGCTGATGGTGGCTCGAACCTTCTCTCATCCTCCTTATGTTTCTCTTCATCCGTATCTCCGTTGTTATTGTCCCTATCCTGCTTGTCCTTTGTACTGTGATCCTTGTTCTGCTCTTTCGTTTTAGCTGGAATCGTTAGAAACATACATTATAACATATATTAAATTATCTTCATCATTATCGAATGTAACTAATCTCAATAATATTTTAAATCGTTATATCAGTCATAAAGCCGCACCTAGAATATAAATTATCTGCTTACTAGTCACATTTTATGAAGACTATTTTTTTTGGTCGTTAGATTCCCCTAATCTCTATATGTAAGGTCAGCAAAAAAATCTTTTCTAAGTATATCTTACCGCTGTGTGTTTTATTGCTGTTTATTTTGGGGTTCCTAACGTCCGAGGTCTTTCTATGTGATGTGGTCGCCACCCGTCCCGCCGGTGTCTTCTTATCATTCGTCCTCGCATTCCTCGGATTATTCCTCGCTGATTTCATGCTCGGTGGGCCTCTGAACAACAATAAATTGATTATTGATACGACTATTTTTTAATTCTCAATTGTTTATGTTATTAATAACAATTAATCTCTAGTGGCATTCCCGTTGGCTGGTCTCGTATATCATACTAATTGTTGTCTGTTTCAATGCAACAAAGTGTCATGGTTAATAAAGACCATTATAATAATTAAAGAACTTAAACAATCTTGCAAATAAATGAAGATATGATATTTTTTGTACAAACTTTTAATTTATTAACTACGATCTACCTGCAGTATATTTGTAGTAGCAGTGAGATATTTATCCAAAATTTAGCTCGATGGAATTAAAATATAAGGGTAATAATAAAAGTTATTTGAACTGACTTGTGTTCAACACTGGTGGGTGATGGCCAGGCGGGATCTCTATCGGGCGGGGGCGGCCAGATATCAGGATCTATCTCGTGAGGAGCTGGTGCCCACATCTGGTCGCGGGTGGGCAGGTCTTCTAACGCTGGACGGATGAGCATCTTTTACTTACGTCGTTATATCATTATAAATTATAAGCAGAGCTTTATTAGTAGTATTAATGTTCCGGAACATTAACACATGGCGATCTATTGTCTATAAACCCTTGGGATATAGGTGTGTGTAATAAGTATGCGCATGACGTTTTACCATTAAGTTTCCGAGCTGTGACGTATAAAACGATTTAAACTCTATAAAAAATATAATTATTATGATTGCTCTAGTCTAATTTTTAGCCATCAAAGCTCTGAGAAATTTCATTACAATGGTATTTCCCATAGCCGGACGATAATAACACTCCAGTAAGCTAGACTGTTCTTGGAACTATTTAATTTATTTCCAAGCATAAAACATCAGATGACTAAGCCGGCTCCAATGGACCTTCTGAAATGCTTTCAAAATGTAAAACATTTTTCCTTATCCTATCTTAAGTACAGACAGAGTAATTTATAGTTATATTTTTAGTTTCTTTTATTTTGTGATAAAAAAACGATCGTATTTTGAAAGCATGTGGAACTGTTATTATCTGAATTGTTATAACTGTAAGTCTGGAGTCTGTACTACAGATTGGAGTGGAAAATTACCGCATCGAATATCCGCAGAGAAATGTACGTACGTCTGCGAATGAAAATTGTTATATATATATTTTATCTTTTATATTTTTGAGACTTAAATATACAATGTAAGGTGAAGTAAATGAAATTATTGATATAAAATTCAAGATAATTATTTTATAATATACGATTGTCTATACATATAACACAAGTACCATACAATTTATACGTATCTATCTTAGACTTCATCTACAATAGGAGGTTGTGGACGCGTCGATGGCTTCACATCGCTATAGAGAGCAAACTTGTATGTCAAGTATGGTGTCTCGGCAGTTATTTAAAACGATCTTTATTATTATTGTAATAAGGTATAAATTACGATGACATATATAAAAGTTCTTAGCGAGACATGCAGATTGGAAAGTAGTTTTATCAGATCTCAACGGACGATTACCAACAAAGACCTTACGTTGGATCATTCTGAGAGTAAAGATGAAAATTATTATAGACTTTATCAAACTATTGTTATATATAAGTATATTCGACATTATAAATTTCAGATTAAAATTGTTGAATGAAATTAGACCTTATGCTTTAAAACTGTAAGTAGTTTTTAATTTATTTCATAATACAAAAACAAACTATAGAAAATTGATGAAAGCTTTTAGATGTTTTCATACTAGGTACTAGATATTTTCATTCCGCAATTAATTCATTACTTGCAATACATGTATTCTTTTGTATGCACGTTTTTATCTGCATTGCGTATTCTCTCCGCTAACGTAGGACTTATTATCCTTTATCGCGATATGTGATGTTTATATGAAAAACGATTAAATAATCATATCTCATTATATCTATAAACATTTTATTTTTACTGAATAAAATTTTATTCAAGTTAGTGTACTTCATGCTCGTTTTTGTCAACTTCTCGGCCGCGTTGCCTTTTATTCCACGTATCTCGCTACAAAGCCTACCTTTCTCCGAAGCCCTATCTACCGCCTTACCGAATTTCATCTAAACTGGTTTATAAATTCAACAAAGAATACTGACATACATTTTATACTTCAATAAAATTTGTTACATAATTATATATATATATATATAACTTTAAATATTCTTTTGTAATGACAATAATCATAATATTTTATTGTAATTTCCATGACGTCACTTATAACCCGACCCAAATCGCACTAATTGCGATACAGACGTCAACAAATCAATGAAATGAATCAATGGAACACAATCGCGTCTTAGAAGGCTTGTCTTTCGTAGAACAATAGTTCAAAGTGTTGCCAGTACAATACTTAATATGTACAGTATGTGTGATCGAAGTACTATATCACTTATAATCTTAACAGTAGTGAACTAAATATAATGAGATCTAAGATTTTCGCGAGTATTTCATTTGAATAAAGGTAATATTTTTTCGGATTTTTACACGTATTTTTTTCCATCTTTCGTTTCCGAAACCGAAAAATATTTGCTTTTAATCTTCCAAAGTAATTTATTATAATATAACTTGTATGTTTTTTAATAAATAAATATATTTTTAAATGTAATGTACATTATACATTACTCACTGCTGGTTAGTGGCGTGATAGCTTTTTCTCCCTCATGCTGGAACATCTGTAAGGTTGCTACCGTCGCCTTTAGTTGTTCGTATTCCCTGGCCATCTGCTTCTGGACCTGGAACAACAGACAGAAATCAGAAAAGAACTTTATAAAAGGAATCACGTACAGAAACAAGCACTGAGAATGGTGATTGTTGACGAAAGAGAAAATCCATTGTAATTATTATACACAAATTTAAAATACAGACGAAAAACACTTATATTTAGAAATTAAAATTATAGTTTCCAAATTATGTATTTTCTTTGTGCTAAATATTTCATAATGAATTAAACGTTGTTTAAGGTCACACTCCGTCTGACCTACATCAAAAGTACAACTTAGTAGCGAATAAATTAATTGTATTATTCAAAGGTCAAACGATAACTTTACATACGTACCGGATTATATTTTGACAACAACCGTAAAAATAAAACTTAAACCAGAGGTTAAGACGATTTCGAAATCAAAAAGTATGTTCTAGTCCAGTCATTTAAGCTTAAATTAGGTAAGAATCTCGGAATTCGAGATACCCAGCTGTAAGTCTGTAAATAGTTGTATATTGACACCCTAAAAGTTGTCTCAAAACCTACATATGGTAGGGTGTAAGCAACTATTAAATTTCAAGTTCAAAGGTTACAAAAATCGGTTTTTTGCGCTTTTTTTGGAAATATCTCATTTCCTATGGGTTTTTTGCTATTTGTATTTATTATCAATATTGTAGAATACTAAATTTTCAACAAATTTTGTTTCAAAAATTTTTTTATGCGGTGTACCGTTTTCGAGATAGAGGGCGGAGAGCGCGCGGTCACCGCATCACTTCAGGTCAACCGGTGCCTCCGGTCGAAAACGCGCCATATAAAGTTGATGAACTATCAATAAATCAATGATTTAAATATTTGTCAATTTTTATTAACTATTTTATTATATTTTATAATTTTTTTCCTAACTTATCCACTTTTTATTCAGTATTAATTTATTTAACAACACTTACCTGTCCATGTAATTGCAGAATTCTCTAATAATAAATAATAATTGCTGCTGCAGCTTCTACAATTCTTAGCCTTTCTGCTTCAGGATCTATTTTTTTACTTTCGTACCAAGCTTTTGATAGAATATTAGCTTGTGCATCACGGAAAGAAATGATCGTGAAAGCTCCAACTTCCTTCGTAATTACGATATCGGTTAAGTACTTCTGTTGTAGTGTTGTAATGATAGTTTTATCATCTGGCACATACCCTGTCAAGACATCTTTAAGCTCTTTTAGTGTGAATTGAGAATCATTATTATTTTCGATGTAATTGAAAATCTCTAACATAGCTTCTGTAACTTGATTATCTTGACGAGGTTTCTCAAGAGGCGATGATGATGATGATGATTTATTTGAAAAGTTTGTAAAACAAGCAGCATGGTACTTCGCTTTAGTAGCGATCAAATCAAACTGTAAAATTATACGACTTTTCACCAATTCTCCAAAATCATCCCCACGTTTTTCTGCTTTTTTGAAAATTGACAAATTGTATTTATAATCATTGATTTATTGATAGTTCATCAACTTTATATGGCGCGTTTTCGACCGGAGGCACCGGTTGACCTGAAGTGATGCGGTGGCCGCGCGCTCTCCGCCCTCTATCTCGAAAACGGTACACCGTATAAAAAAAATTTTGAAACAAAATTTGTAGAGAATTTAGTATTCTACAATATTGATAATAAATACAAATAGCAAAAAACCCATAGGAAATGAGATATTTCCAAAAAAAAGCGCAAAAAACCGATTTTTGTGACCTTTGAACTTGAAATTTAATAGTTGCTTACACCCTACCTTATGTAGGTTTTGAGACAACTTTTAGGGTGTCAATATACAACTATTTACAGACTTACAGCTGGGTATCTTGAATTCCGAGGTGAACTTACTATAATGACTGGACTATCAAAATACTTTGCGATTTGAATAAAGTGCGTCTTTTACAAAAGTTTTTCACACAAAATATAGTCGGCAAAAAGAAATCTTAAATTAATTTTAAGTATAAAAAGTACAATTATTGGTTAGTGTCCCTGTTCAAATACATGTCTTTTATAAAAGAAATGTATGAAAATCAAATAATATTATTTTTATATACCTACATATATTTATCCTTAAAACTATTATAATAATAAATTCTGTAAATACGTGATATAAACGATTATTATACAAGAAAACTAACTCACGAAACGTGTCAAGGTTAATTGAGAAATTGTTAACGGGGTAGCCTTAAGTTATAATTCAAAAAAATAACCACATATATGTATGTGTTATGATTTAAAAATAATGGAGAAGTAAATACCATGAAATCGATCGGCTGCCATACCTTCATGAGGTTTAATAGCTTCCTAGAGCAACGCACCCATAAAAACACAAGTCATATCAAAACGGTTCATTCATACAACAATTATTACGAGGCGGTTACGGGAATTCAATGAACATTTCTTAGAAAGCGCTACAAAGACAATGATCCGACCGTCCGCAGTAAAATACACAGAAGCGAAATTTGATATAACAAGAGAAATATTCCCACACAAAACTATTGATAAGAAAAAAGCACGACAAATTAATTCAAACGCCTTGACCGAGTTCTGCTAAGTAGTAGGCCGTTAAAACTACCCACATTGTTTTAGAAATAACACGTTCCGGTTGAAATATGCTGACTTTGACAGATCTTATTTAGAAACAACTAAGATGATAATTAAGAAAATCAATTCAAATCGTCTTATGTATAGATAGTAATATATTTATTATTAAAATGACGTTTATATTCTCAGTATTATATTATTTACATTCTATTACACAGCCATTTTAAGTAGCACTCACAGAAAATAAGCTTATAAAATGAAGTAAAAAGTGTTGAACAATTATGTTAGTGTGTGTGCGTGTGTGTATAATATATATGTATGACATACCCTCAAAACTGTCACGCATTGACATTAATTATGCAAGTTCAATGACCGCGGACAGTGCAATGATACCAATACTTAATCGTATGTGGGCGACAATAGAACGAATGTTTGGCGTCAATCCAGCCACCAAATTATACTAACTCACCTTTAACCCTTAACTGAGGATATAGGAAAGTGAACTATACTATATGATTAATCTTATTGTCCGTTAAAATCTTTAATTAGAAACTAACTAAATATATTTTAATAGAACATTTTTGGTATTCATATAAACATGATAATAATTACACAAGTTATGTTCCAAGCTATTATTAATTATTATTATTTTAATCATTCTTATAGGAGATAATTATTGAATTTAAAAATAGCTGAACTTTAGCCAGATCTTCATTTATAACAAAATTAATTTTATGATAAAAATGTACACAAAATAGTACTCTAAGCTATGACATATATTATACATATGTATATATTTTTTTAATTATCGTTATGCAAGAAAGGCTAGGACTATGAACCCTTTTCATTGTTTACTACTATTGATTTATTGAAAACTAATATTACTATCGAAGTACAAAAAATAACTATCGGGTTATTTTTTTGTACTTCAACTATTTAGATGAAATTGCTAAATTGTAAAAAAATAAAAGAGATTATTTCAATCTTTCAAATGTAATTTGAGTCATTGTAAATGGAGACTGATAATTATGGGTCATGTTCGTCAATCTATAAGCAAAGGAAATGCTTACTCAAAGTTTTCATGAAAAAACACCACGTACGAAGTGTTCCGCATTTCTTAATCATTGAAGACTGACGTATGTTAATACTATAAAATTAGAAGATTTATGAATGTTATTTTAATATATAACAGATACGAAAGAAACACATTAATTATGTTTATTATATTATGAGAAATATAATAATACATATATTAATCTCTGTAAGGGGAATATTGATTTTTCCTTCAATTTCTTTAGTATATAAGTAAATATGAATATTGACGAACTAATTTAATATCACAGCTTAAAAGAATTATTTTTGCTGCTTATAATCAAATTATTTAAGGTGTTCTAACTATGTATTGTATGCATCGATTGTTTTGTATAGAATAGTTTAAAATGTTATAGATTATAATTATGATGGATGTAAACATTCACATTTAACTAAAACAACACCATTGTAACGTGTCTTTGTCACGTCTGAGACAGATCTTTTCTCTACGTTAACTAAATAAGATTGGATAATTTAAAAACGAATAATTGACCAATACTAACAAGATTTTGCCAATGATTTTGTCCATTCATGCTGAGTTATTTCTTGAAAATAATTATGTTAAATTAAACAGTAACAGTTCTTTAAGCAATAGCATGTATAGTACAATATTTATAATAGTTAGTGGGATCGAAAATCGGTCAGTAAGTTTCGCGTGACTAACACTACATATCCTCAACTAATTAAAAAGGGTCGGGACGTAAGGAAAACACACCCAATACTTAAACACGTAATGATTTTCATTTAAATGTATAAATTAAATGTACCTATACTATGAATAAATGTCGAATGATACTTCGATAATGAACTTCAAAATGTTATTTGGAAATCGATCATTCATACCGTTAATGTCTAGAGGTTGTTGAACTTTAAGAAACGCATTGCGTATTTTTAGACAACTACGCATTAATCACTATAAAACATCATAACTTTATTTTTTGATTATCAACTCCATATATTGTTTACGTTTTGCGAGTGCTATATAAAAAGTATTTTATTAAGATCTTAAATATAAAAAATATATGGAAGAAAATAGGAAATTAGTATTTTCACTACAAGCTTAACCGTAGTTTGCATCTATACAATGCATACTTAGCTTTGAGAGTTTTTCATGCATAAATCTTCACACATTACTGTAATTATACAAGTTATTTAATGACAAACGTTAAACGGTTAGTATAAAGTTTGTAACAAACTTATGGTACACACAGACGTGGGATGAAAGTTTATTTATGTCGGATCTTTTGTAACTTTTCTTTATATTTATAAGATGTCATCAGTTTCCTCTCAGGAAATGGCATTTCAACACAGAAACAAATAGAAATACACATAATATTACAGTCACGTCTGTGTTTCCGCTGAATTCAACTTATAACAAAATAACAAATAACATATCGTATAACAAATAGCAAAATCCTGATATAACTTTGACTTCAATATAAATTATTAAACTTGAAATTACAAAGAAACAATTTGAGAACGAAATCATGAATAAAAAATACAGAGACAATTATACATACATATCTGTAAAGAAAACTACAAAGCATTCATCAGATAGAATTAGTTATTGCTTAATCAAGTAAGACGGTTGTAGAGATATTATGTAAATTATAAAAACATACGCGCACGGAACGGAAAGACTTAAGAAAGATATTTCAAACCGAGTGAACTAAAATGTATACTTTCTATGAATAACCAGGGGATTGTTTACTAAACACCTTCCCGCTCGTTATTTAGAAAGTCAATACTCTAGAGGCTAGGGGAACAAGGCAACTCGTTAAGAATATAAATAAAGTTATACGTTTAATTTAAATAACATTGTTCCCAGCCTATACTTCGCTCAGAAAGTAGACAATACTGTATGAAAGTCTCATAGCGCCATTTAAAATGAAAGCACTTAACTTTTTATTTAAACAATTAACTTATTATAGTTTCTCAGAAATAAGAGACGATAAAATGATTAACAATCTTAAAAGTTTCTCAATAATAAAAACTCAAACTATTACAGTCACGATCTTCAATCCAGTACAAGCCAACCATTTCTCATGAGCAAGTCAAACGACAATTCCTTTCCTGTAGATCAAAGTTATTTTTTAATTCTAGACCAGTTTACTCACTAGACTCGTCGCAACGACTTTTTTTTTTAATAATCATTGATGTAAAACAGCAATAATTATCATTCGACAGCCGCATAAAAAGGCTAAGAACCGAAAAGGTTTTAGTGTTTCGTTTCACGTTACAGTAAAGTCATTCATGTGTAAAATTGTATTGTGAGGTTTCTTTAAGAGAAAAAAATATATCGTGAGTCAACATTACTACAAGGACGGCGGCAGAACTGATTTACGTATAACTTCCTATTGTGCATACATTTTCATACAAACGCAGAAAATTAAACGATCAGACCTTCAGCCTTATTAACATCAAAGGGAATTATAATTAATTAAAAAACTGTAATAAATAGGCACAAAAATTATTAAATTCATACATTTATGAAAAGCGTTTTGTGAGAATGTTGTTCAAAATGTGGGTAGGCGGTGAACAGGTTAGTTGTAGTTAAGTAAAAGTTGAATTCAGCATTAATAAGTAAAGTTTAACAATTTATGTAGGCGACTGAGATTAGTTTGTAATCTTTGAACACAGGAAATAAAAATGGTAGAAAACTAAGAGTTAGAAAACGAGATATATTTACTACGACAGGGACTAACAGAGCTTCATAAATACAAGAAATTATAGTTTAGACTAAGAAGCGAAACAAACGGTACATAAAATAACCAATACTTTTTAAAATAAACGTTGCTATAAAGAAAAAACTACTGAGATTAATGTTTACATTGTTCGTTCGTTTTTTAAGACAATTATCTTAATTACAATCAAATCTTCTATAATTTAAAAATTATATATCTTCATGGTAAGAACACAGTTCGATAGATACATTCAATGATTTTACTATTTTTACTATGACAAAGCTCTTACAAACATCAATATATATAAATATATTATTAATTTATTACAAATTCCAATAAACAACAGATAGATTGTACATATGTATATGTAATGATCATATTATAAGTTACGTCAACTCTTTGAAGATGAGTAATGAGATAATACCGTAGATCAAGGACTTAGCTGTTTCACCTTCGATATAAAATTACACTATTACAACTGTATCGAATATTTAATTACCGTTTCATCTAAGCTCTATTGTATATAAATAAACAAATATTTTTTCTTGTAATTTCAATGCAATAATTGTGTATTCTCTTTCTTATAACAAATGTTTTAAGCCTGTCTGTACTTATGACATATCGTCTTAATTAGCAGAACAGTGTAGAACTGTAATGACGTCATAAGCCCTAAAGTCTGTTCAAACAGATATTAGCGTATCTAATCTCGACACAACTCAGAAGGTCGAACTAATAGTGACGTCATCACACATTAGAAAAGATTCAGAAATGACGATATTATGATCGATAACATACAAGATTTATTGTTTTATTTTGTTAGCTGTAGAATAATAGCTTGGCTTTTAAAGGAAACAACAAAGAAACTATATATTACATTACTAGTAAAACGACAGCACAGATAAAATAAATGTATTCTAATGACCAGAGTCTATATACGAAAATCAAAATATAAAACTTAATCTGATTGTATGTACATACCTAATGCGATTAGGGATGGCCCAGTAAAACGGATGGAAGCATTTGTTACTTTCAAGACCCAATTGACTTAAAATTAATCGCATTTTAACGGTTGACAGAAATCGATACTGTAGTGTAATTTAATCGTTATCGAATACGACAACGAATTAGAAAAATGTATAAGAGACGAAACCTCTTAGCATCCGATGGATTCACCGTGCGGGTGGCGGGTACATCGTTGTAGGGTGAGGAGATTCAGCCTTCAAAAGTGACTGGGACTTTTGACCCAGATGTAGGTTTAAGGGGTCCCTATCTAACGCAATAATAAATTAGGTAAAAATGTAATAACTCTCCGTACAGCTACGATAGTTAAGTCGTAAATCTATCAAAATTTAACATACTTTAATATTGAAACAGATTTAAAATCAAAGTAAAACAATGACGTCAATTGATAAACTGCTCGATCTCGCAAGATGCATTGCCATTGTTACCTTTGTTAAGTACAACCTTTTTTATCTAAACTATGTGTTAATATTGTTAAGTTATTTCAGATTAATTTCTAACATGAGGCGATATAAAAATATTGTGTATTGTTTAGAAATCAATTTAAAATCTATTATTATATACTATAGCTGATGTAAAGTATTTTAACTCGCTGTGATTATGTTAAAGATTTGCAACTATAGTAAGTTTTTGGTCGGCCTAAGCATATAACGATTATGAAATTGTGAAACAAACATTAATTTCGCAATCATTATCAATAAATAAAGGTGGCATTACTGTTATCATAATCTAATTTATTTTCTAGTAGGTATGTTTAATTTTATGTATTATTTAATATTGATTTTTAATTGACCATAAAGTACAGAATCATGGCATATAAATTAAATTTAATACATTCAGATTTTTTTATTAAAATATTAATAAATATATTAAAAATGTGCTTATATGTTTACTATTATTTAAAATTGTATATTATATGTTTATACAGCTATATTTAACAAAGGCAAATTCACGGAATTGACTAAGGATGCATTAATTCAGATAAATATGAACTTGATGACTAAGAAATGTGTCTCGGCTATCACTGTTTAAGATAAAAAGATTCAAAAAATGCATATTAAGTAGAACAAAATTTTATTTACTTTACAATTTTTGAGACATATTTTTTTATATGTGAAATAAATGTAAATTATAATTTAAGTCATTTGTGTTCAGATCTATATACATGAATATTTAAAAAGAAGTAACTTTTTATAAATTATTGACTCACTTCGAAGCAATGACCTTTACTACTCTCTAATAATTGGTTGTTCAAACTTCAGAAGCGACTTTTAGGTGGTATAATGTTAAGGTTAAAGGTTAAAATCATCAATAAATAATAATATTCTACTACAATAGTGTTAAATTTAAATTTTTAAGAAATATTTGTAATGTTATTCCAGTCGTTTTAGATAACAATTTTATAAAAAATGTAAATGATTTGCATTTTTAATATTCATAGATTATTTTTCATATTAATAAATACCAGAATACATGTTACATTTATTTTCATAGAATGATATATTATTGTTTACTTATTATAATTTGTATGTGAAATGCATATAAATACATGAATTCATAAACATGATTACCATTTAAAGAGAATATAATTTAGATAAACATTTAAAATATATGATGTTTCAGTTTGAAATAGGAAGTTATTTGTATAATGTTTTCAACAAACCATCTAAGTATACCGTGACAGAGCTCCGTGGGTGGCCTTACGTATTAATTAACTAAGTTATCTTATAAGGAAATAACTATGTGCAAGGTTAGCAACTTACAACAAAATAAAGGATAATGTTTGTGTGTAAATTCAACTTACCAACTGCCACTTAGACTTTCGTGTGGGGTCAGCTATAGTAATGAGGAGTCTGTGGATCATCTGAACGGTTCCTTCGTAGTATACAAGAGCAGATTCATAGTTCCCCATTAATGCCATTTCTCTAGCCAACTTAGTATTCTCGCAAATTTCGCCAACAGAAACTGCCATTATTGTCATTCCCGCTGCGTACATATAACGATTCTATGAAAAATTATATATTTTCAATTCACGACACCGAATCGCGTGCGACCAACAATCTGAGAGCATTATTCATTTTTCATACAAAAACCGCGCCGAATTCATTTTATTTGCATTATTTTTCACATAAAACTAGGTTATTTGTTATGTTTACGTTAAATATATTATCTCATGACGACTAGAAATTTTAAAAGTGATTTCATATTTGTGACACAAAACAAACTATTTCTTTGAAACAATTAAAGAGGAGTTCACATCACATTACACTTCTCAATCACCAACTCACTCGCCAGTCGCCACTCACCAGTCGCCACTCGCCTAACTTGTTAATTGCTATCTGAAAAAATATGGTGTTGCCATTTCATAAAACGAATTATTAACCGTAGAAAGGGGAAAAATCATATAAATTCAACGTCTTTGAACCTGTAGCCATATATAAGAAACAATCCAATAAGTCTTTTTCAAAATGAAAAATGTAAGTAATTTAAATATTAATCTGTAATTTGGAGATATCTCTAGATAAATAAAAATTTATTGAATTAAGGTGTAAAAAATAACAAATAAATTAATTTTACACCCCTTTACTGCAAATATAACTTTTGTAACAAACATTATTATTTGTTTTGACATTAATGTTTTTGTTATGGCCACACTAGTAAAACATTATTTCTGAATTGCATATTTTAGCACAATTAATTACATAATACATAACATTTGTATCAATTAATCCATTGCCTGTAATTTATTTCTAATTATCAGTTAATATCACTTTTATTAGAAGGATAAATAAAGTTTTCTATTAACTTGAAGTTTACGGAAATAGCTATTATTTTTTACGATTTTATTCTAAGTATTTTCGTTTTGAATTAAAACTTTAAATTATCCTAATAAAGACATGTTCGAGAGATGTTAAATTTTATATGACAAACTAGCTTTCGCCGCGATTTCGTCCGCGTGGAATAGTGACTTCCGGCAGATTTTTCGTTCTTCCCACATAGTTCCCGTTCTTGCGGGGTTTTCGGAGTGGTCGAGTTCCCGTAGAATTTTCAGGATAAAACCTATGTTTTTTTTACAATGAATTACTCTTAACCAACAACATATTTATTTGTTTATTTGAATAAAGATTAATATTATTATGTTAATACAACTTAAACATATTATTTCGACCAAATTAGGTACCATAAAAACGGTTTTTGTGAGTTAATCTTAAAAGATAGACATATACTGTCGCGGACTGTTTTTTAGATCATTAAAAGAGCTATTATTCTTTCATACATATTTTTTGTGTATCTTGAACCGTTTTCACGGCGCACGCAACGGAAGGCTTCAAAGATGAAATAATTTCTTCCGTTTTTTACACATTTACCACTATATCTTTGCTTCTATTGGTTGTAGTGTGATGTTATATAGCCCACAGCCTTCCTCGATAACTGGACTATCCAACACAAAAAGAATTATTCAATTCGAACCAGTAGTTTCGGATATTAGAGCTTTCAAACAAACAAACTCTTCAGCTTTATAATACAGGGTGGGCCATGAATTAGTTAACATTTGAAATAATCATTTAAAAGAAACTATTTGACATATTATAAAAATTGTTTTATTAAAAGAAAGCTAATTAGTTGGAAATTATTTTTTAAGAATCATATCATCTAAATGACCACCATTTCGTTTTTTACACTCTTCTAAGCGAGTAACGAAATTTTCGAATACTCGTCCGCACAGAGACCGTGAGATCGTCGATATCTCTTCGTTGATTTTTTCTTTTAGTTGACGTAGTGTATTTGGTTTATCAATGTAGACACGACTCTTTAAATAACCCCATAAAAAGTGGGCTGCAATTTCAGCAAAAGGAATAATTGGACCCTACTTTTTTTGAAGATTCTCACGGCCGTTCAGTTACTGTTAATTCTACTCGGTATGTGAAAATGTTACGGGAGTTTTTGGCACCGATGCTCCTGGAATTTTCTGGCTACAATCGTTACACATGGTTTCAACAAGATGGAGCCACTTGTCACACATCCAACGAGTCCCTGCCGGTGGTTAAAGAAATGTTTCTCAAAAGGCTGATTTCCAGACGAGGTGACATTCCATGGCCACCCAGAAGTCCAGATCTATCCCCAGCTGACTTCTTTTATGGGGTTATTTAAAGAGTCGTGTCTACATCTACATATAAACCAAATACACTACGTCAACTAAAATAAAAAATCAGCGAAGAGATATCGACGATCTCACGGTCTCTGTGCGGAGGAGTATTCGAAAATTTCGTTACTCGCTTAGAAGAGTGTAAAAATCGAAATGGTGGTCATTTAGATGATATGATTTTTAAAAAATAATTTCCAACTCATTAGCTTTCCTTTAATAAAACAATATTTAAAAATTGTCAAATAGTTTTTTTTAAATGATTATTTCAAATGTTAACGAATTCTTGGCCCACCCTGTATTAGTATAGATTAGTCATAGTCTAATCAGATGCATAAGTTCTTTAGCATTGTTATATGTACTAGAGATGAAACAGATATGCAGTATCTAGCCTTGTTTTCATTATTCGACCCGATCCCTAGTAGTAAAATAAAATCATTTTTGACGTGATAACGTCTTTAAAATTGTTTTAGTCGGGTGACATGTTCAGAAACTTGTGTCACACCAAAACCTCACGAGCGCGATCGCAGGTATAACGAGAGAGAGACGGACCGATCTCCCGTCACATCTCGAGCGCTGCCACTCATTCCGTGAAACTTGTCACGCGGAATCCTCACGAGCGGAGGCAGGCATAGCGTTCGAGTGAGTGGACCGATCTTCCGTCTCTCTCACTCTAGCGGCATACAAACGAATGGAGATTTTCTCGTCCGGTTAAGTTTTCGTTGAATGTTTAACAGAAGGTTTAACTTGTCATTTTACACCCGAAATTTATCATCAAAAGTGTGAATAAAACGATAGATGTAATTTAAAATTTGAAAAAATTGTTATCTTCATTACTTCCCAAAAACTTATATCACCAATAAGACGTTACCACGTAAACATCTCGATCGTAAACCTACTTTACAAACAACCAATTTTTTTTCAGATGGTTATAAACAACTTATTTAATTATTGAATACTCAAAATTTTCAAGTGGAAAATTGTAGTGAATGAATACCAGGTTTTCCGCATTATTTGTAGCAGGCGACTCCGCTTGTCTTATATACCAGACTCGCTTCTGAAAACAGCTTTTCGTTGTATACGCTATTGCCAGATGCTGAAAGATAAATTCTAACAAAACTTGACACCTACGGATTCCAATTTAAACTAACTGACCACCAATAGGTCATCATTGCGATTGAAGCGAGATGTGTTTAAGAAGAAAATAATCTCCTTAAGAAAATTTCACAAAAATCGAATATTTGGTTCGCTTGCTTCGTAGTTTGCCGAATATTGAGTATCCGGTGTCCAGCCAAACAAATATCACTTTCAACTTTAATATCTAGTATTTTGATTTTTGTTTATATTCTCACAAATGTTAATCAAAAGAAACGAATAGGAAAATACATCAAAAATTTTCAAGAAAGTGAGACCATAATATTTTGAAACTTGAAAATATTTTTTATGATTTACAAAAACAGTTATGAATAAATAGTTATATATCTGCCAAGTTAAATATTTAAAAATTACTAATTTCGTTTAATATATAACTTTTTCTATTCTTATTATTACGGAAGATCTGTTCAACTAAAATTGAACAATTAATTTTCTGTTTAAAATGCTTGTATAAATTCTTTAAATTTTGTTTTCCCTCTGAATTCATAGACAAATTATTAAAAGATTCTTCTACTTCTTCATTTTAATTTGGAAGTCTTTGAATTACTTTTCATGTTAAATTTTAAAAACGACTAATCTTATTGAGAGTTGAGTAAAATAATATAATTTTTTCTTAAATTTTTTACATTCAAAACCGCAAACTAATACTAGTTTACAATACTTACTTAAAAAGGCTTTAAAAATATATGAAAGTTGTATAAATAAATAAGACCATGTGTATAACAATAAACTTTATATAGATAGCCATAAGTAATATACATTATACATCCTTCAGTTATACAGTTGGGTAAATATTTACAATTACATATCAGCCAGACGTTCAGCATCTATTGAAATGATACATTAACATTATTATTAATATAAAAATAAAACTAAAAATTGCTTCAACAATTATCCATTCTAAATGAGTACATATGAATAAAAGTTCCATTTAACCTTTGGTTGAGAACACTGCATTTATGAGTTGCTAGTTAAAAAGAAATATACAACACAAAGTATGTCATGTAAGCTCTTGAGAATGATAAGTGTTAAACGAAAAAAACATATATATAAATAAATAATCATAAACTATACTAAAACGGAATAATTTTAAAATTATATTGAGTTTTTTAAATACTACAGTACATTTAATATCCCCATACACAAACATACAAATACGTACAGACAAACCAAATATAAACTATTTAAATAACAAGTAATATAAAAAGCTATATTAAATGGCCAGCGACTCGTTGATAATGACCCTTAACATTAAACACAGGGTATAGTTACTACAAGCAAAAACGATTACATCTTAATCTAACCAATAAGACATCAATTAAACGAACTTCGAATAAAAAACAATCAAAATTTTTAAGACATATTTCTATTAAAAAAAAAGAAATTTTGGCGTTAGCTGATATAGCACCAAAATTAAATAAGCTAAACATAGACACGAATAACCATAGACTAGTTATAATCTATAACAATATGGCGTATGGAGAGTACTGTCTGAATCAATCAAAGTATTTTCAATTTTGTACTCCTAGAATTACTAATAGTCGGAAACAAACGATTAATAAAAGGTTTTTATTAAAACATCTAAACAGATATATTGCTAACACGTAGATATACAACAGTCACTAGCGAACAAATCGCGCTTTACACTAGTTTAAATAATCATAAAGACGTTATTCTCATATATAATATACATTTGAGTTATATTATTATACTTACACTTCACCAATACTATATTATAGTACCACATTGAATATCAACACCAAAATAAGTATGAAATACATATATTTATAAATATTAATTTAAGATTTTTAATTTTTTTGAAAATACACGACAAATAATTTTATCACAACACGACCTTATTCTCAATTAGAATTAGATTATTCTCAAATGTTTTATGACTGATTACAACAAAAATAGATATAGAAATAGAACTTTACGTTTTTACAGGTGCTGTCTTTAGGAAAAATTACAAAAAAAAAATAGAAATAAAATGGACACATGAACTAAAACATATGCGATTTGTATTACAAAAAATAGAAGACAATTTTCATGTTCATCATTTATAGAACATGTCGATTTTCATTTTCATGTTTATCATTAAAGAACTGATAACTAATAATACAAGTTTGAAGTAAAATTATTAGAATACTTTATTATACTGTTTTGAAATATCAGAAACATTTACACCAATGACAATGTCTTCATTTAAAGACTCGGGTTGATTTTCTATTTAAATGGTTATGATAAAAGCCATTAGCATTTTAGATTGGTATATGACAATAGCAATACATCGCAAGCGGTATTATATTTCATAAATGTATTTTTTTATAGTATTTTTGAAAATATATGTTTTTAATAAAAATATGTATTAAGTTCAATTATATATTCTCTTACTGCTGTTGGTTATAATATTCAAAGCACAATAATTTTTCTCTGCATTATAAACAGAGTGAAAGTACACTATTTTCAGATCTCCATAGATTTATCACATAAATGGTCCATATTACACAGTAATCAATTAGTTTGAGTCAAATTTGGACAAAAAATTTGCTGTTACACCAGAGTTTAGAAACAGATTGAGAGTAATGATTTATTGATATAAAAAAGAAATATTAACATTTTTTTTATTTGTTATAATTTGTGATAATTAAAGCTAAGTAAATGGTCAAAATATTTCTACTTATATTTGACACTAGTAGCAACATAAAACTTATTAAAATGTTTCATCTTCAATTGTATGTTTCTAAATATATAAAACTCTGGTATGCAAATTTTTATATGTTAATCAGGATTTGTACAAATTACTATAAAAGTATCTGAAATTCGGTAAACAGTTTGAAGCCCACTTAGATCTCCGACCAACTTTTGTATATAGAGAATTTAAAAAATATCCTTTGTTTAATATTTTTATCTGCACCAATTAACAATTATTGAGATCAAGAAGCATTTAATTCACAACTTCCTTCCTCCATATAGATGAAAATAATTTCTCAATTAGTCATTCAATTATCTGCTTTGTGTTTTATTAAATAGCATCTATTATTGTGTAGAATTCAGTTCAGGTTAATATTTTTTTATACAGCTTCAATTTTTGAGGTGATTTATTAATTATTAACCTGTTTCCTTTAAATATTACTAATGAATATTATATTCACGTTTTCTGTAAGCCCTAAGTATTATTCCAGAGGCTGTAATACACCAAATGGTACGAAGAACTAAAGCTTGAAGTTATTTTAACCAGATGCTGATAGCATATACTATATATGGGTATCAAAGTATTCTTACTGATTGATTAATGTGATAGACTTCATTGGTATTATATACCACATTTGCTTATTTCCTCTTCATATATTGTCATGTTCTTTGGTGAGTGGTGGCAGAACGTGTAATTGTCTCGCCTTCCCAGCATGATACACCTGGCCAGGGCTGAACGGCTCCAACCTTGGATGGGATGATGGATCTGGAAATATTAGATTAAAAACATTATATTTACATAGATTAAAAATGTTCATACAGTTATCCCCAATATATAGATGTAATATTTACACAGATAAAATAAATACTTTAATTCTTTTTCATTTGGTGTCTAGTATTTATCTATGTACCTAATGATTTGGTATATTTATAATGTAATGTTTTAAAGAACAAATAATTTGTCTTCTACTGTTGTGTTAAATAAAAAATACACAATATTTTAGGTCATAAATCAACAATATTTTTTTTATTTTCTATATTATGTAATTATAAGTTACCCTCCAGGTCTTTACATAAATCCTCGAGTTTTATTCTAGGAGTTTAACCGACCCCATAACACCCGTGACGACCGCAAGGGGGCGTTATCATAAAATATTGGAAAGCTATAATACACCGACAAAGTATAAAGGCCATATAGAGAAGCTTGTAAGATATAAACCTCTTACCTCTAGTATTAGCCGCGATGTATTTGGATAATCTTACAGCGGGTAGTGGAAGGTATCCAGCAACTAACGGCATTACATCCAAATTCACACATTGACCTTCAGAACTGGACTCCATTGTTATAACACCTGGTGAACAGTTAGAATTAATTTTTAAAATATTTACATTGTATTCTTCTATTGTATGAAAGTTATTTCAGTAGTAGTGAGAAGCATCTATTAAGAGTTGTGTTAGATGACCAAAGACTAAAGGTTTTTTATATGGGTTAAATCTTGACCTATACCCATGGGAATCTTATTGGAGTTTATGTATGAATCCGAAGAAGATTCAGTTCGATTCAAATCTTTTTTGTACCAAAACATTTTTTGTATCACAAAATCTTTTTTGTATTAAATCTTAAATATCAATAAAGCAATACCCGCAGTTCGTCCCAGCACCGCCCACATGGTTTGATCCGCAAGCACTTCGTACATAAGAGAAGTGTGCTCTGTTTCATTTACCTGGAAATACATACATCAAAAGTTTTTTACATCACGATCGATAGATGGCGTAAATTTAGATTTGGTGAATTATTTTATTACTTTTGTTTATTAACTAGTCGTCTCTAAAAAGGGTAATAACTATTTATGTAAATATGTGAAAAAAATAATAAATGTTTGCCTCATAGCCCACAGATTTTATTAAATAGCAAAATGATTCCTGGATAAATCTATCATCATATAAAGACCACATAGTCTCACAATCCAGCAATTGGCTAAAAGATGACAGTTTTTTATTTAACTACTAATGTTCTGGTTGAAATACTGATTGTTTGTCTGTTAAATGTGTAGGAAAGCCAATTTTAATAACATTGTTATGGAGGCAAAAGTATATATTCGGTATGATATATTTGTCATACCTATAAGTAAGAAAACTTATTACTTATAACTCACCCTTTGAACAGTCAACTGTAAACAGCAGACTTGTGACGCTCTACAGAAGTCTGAACCCTTGGACGGCTCCAACTTAGTTCTCACAACAAATAGAGTAGTGTAGTCTTGTATATCGAAAGGGCAGGTAAATTGTCTGGATATATCTTCTTCTACTAATCTATAGTTGACCTTGAACACTGCCTTCATCGGCCCAGCCTTTACTAGAGGATCTTTAAGGAGCTCCCACATGAATGAACTAGTGGTGCCATCTGACGCCACTATCTATAATTTCATGTTCATTTTAATGATTGCTATTAAGCAACAGTATTAATATAAATTCTGAATTAATGAGCTATAATTATAATAATTATAAGGTATTTCAAATAAAATATCTTAAATGGGTTATACTTTATAAAATGTAAGTTCATCTTTAAATAGTTAAGAAATTATATTAAATAGTAGTAAATAAATCATTGAAATTGACTTGGCTATTAAACTTTTGTTATTGATTTTACAGATTTTTTCTTCCATATACAGTGTAAACTCTATATAACGACACTCGTTTTAACGACAAACTCTCTAAAGCGTCGAAATCATTTGACTTTGGTTGGTTTAGCTTGTCTACCATACAATGATACACTCTACATAGCGGAACACCCACTCTCAATAACGACAACAATTAAGTAATAAAAGTACCTTTTAAGTTGCTAAAATTAGTAAAAACTGTGCAGCTGTGTACGTTCTTTTGTCGCTTTGTTATCCTAGCCCGCAATAAACTCGACTGTCCCTATCATGCATACCGAACTTTCTAAGAAATTCGTTCTTTTGTTTACAATTACAAATTGATTATACGTGTCGACGGTTTTGGAAACCTACATGGAAGTAGATGACTGCCTCCTTACAACGGCTTCACTCACAGACAAATAAATTTTAGATTCAGTGAGAAAAACTGAGGATCAACAGTAAGGAGATGAAGGAGATGAGATAGATGAGCCTGAGCCTCCGCCGAGCATTAAAGAAGCTTTGGAAGAAGCTAAACTACTGGAAAATTATTTCTTTTATCACCAAGATGCCTCAATATCGCAAGATATTAATAAAATAACTAAAAAAATATAACAACAGTACTGGTGCAGCAAAAGACGTCAAACAAAATAACTGACTATACGCAATAGCGTTCGAATAACATTCTTTTTTATGTACATAAGTACTAACACTAGTCTGAAATAAACTTTGTCTTTTTCTAATTCTGATTTTTCTTCTTTCTATTTAACGGCAACTCTATATAACGCACTAAAATGCACGGTCCCTTCAGTGTCGTTATATAGAGTTTACACTGTATTTAGTAGTTATTGCTTAAGTAATGACATACTAACCATATCCCCAGCGTTCTTAGGATTCAAATCCGCCACAGTATTATCATTGTCACACTCTAGCATAGGGTCACTCAGTACAAACTGAGCGAGATGCACGATGGTTGATTTCAGAGTGATATGAATGAACTTCCTTGTGTTGGATGTCAGTAACCTCCAAGAGGCTATCATGGGAGGTGTGAAGTGTAGGGGCACCTCTGTCACGGTTTCCCACCATGGACAATGAAGCCAAACCTGGAATTACCATTAAAACTAGTTTTTGTCCGTGACTTTTGGTTTATGGCTTTGAGAAATGTGTATATTGGCCTTAATCCTTGCAAAGAAGGTGTATTTATTAAACTAACTGACAGTGACATATGTAATCTATGTGATTTTATACATAACAATTGCTATGAACTAATCCCGCGAGAATTCTGGGAACTAAAAAAAATTGCCTGTTCTGTTACTGTAAAAACAATGTTTTACATTCTTACAAAAATTTTGCACCTACAATATAAGTAGAATATATTTTTGGGTTGGTGAGTATAATAATTTTATGTATTTTATCTAGTTATATTTATTATATAAAAAGCTTATGACAACAATTTTAGAACACAAAATATTAAATGTCGGTAAAATAAAGTCGGTCATGACATGAAAAAAAATTAAGGTAATTTTTATCAAACAAATATCAAAAAACCAAACTATGTCTCTAAAAATGTATCATTTATATGGTGTTATTAATATTAAATATATTAAAAAATATATACTCACTGTATGTTCTATACTTTTTTCCCTTCTCGGTTGAAGATTAGCAAACAACTTGAGCCCTACTTTGGTAGTTTGGAATGGCTCTATTGATTCTATCGGTATAGACAACTCTCTTGTCAGAGTTGAATCAGCGAATCGGATTTGAAGACCGGTCGATGTTTTTAACTGAATTACTGAATTCTGTAATGTTTCATAGAATGTAAGGAATAAACCACTTTTAAAATCAATATAACTTGTTGCAATATAAATGAAACTAATATTTTAACTTATAATTTTTTGCAGTAACCGTGATCACGGTTGCTGTAAAGTGACTGAAACGTCGGGAGTGTTTAATTTAAAAATAATACGAAGTAATCCAAAAAGATATGTTTCATTTAAGAAAACACTCGCGAAAACTTAGATCTCATTATTTTAATATATTGAATACTATACCATACCTCTTCAATTCTAGAACTGCCACTGGTAACAACCAATTCAACATCTTCCTCTAAGCCGGCAACCAAATCCTTTTTTGGTTCAACTTTATTCAAGTACACACTGACACCTCTCGTCTCCACGTCATAACCGAGCTTGCACTGTATTAATGCATTCGATAGAAATTCAAGTCTACCCTCAATTAACAATGAAACTTGACCCAATTTGAATAAACCACATAACTTTGGTACATATTCAAGTAGTATTTCATTTAAACCGGGTTTCAATATAATATTGTCAGTTGTTAAACACGTTTCGTAGTTATTCCGTATAGTAGCAGAGGGTTTTCTATATTTACTGCTGTCTGATCTCCTTAGAGTTACTTTTGGGTTAGAACATTCTACGGTAGCCTTCTGTAGTGTCCTATCCTCTTTGTAATGCAATTTAGACGTTATGTTCATTTTGTTAAGGAATGAATTTTTTGTTTTTAAATCTTCTAGTCTTATACTGTAACAAAATTTGATATATATATAGTAAACTTACTTTCTTGGAGTGCTTTACTTTAAAAAGTTTAACTTATTTATGGATAATGTAAAAAATATATGTGTTAAATAATTGCAATAATTGTTATAACTCACCTAGTAACTAAACTATTGGAATCACTATCAACAACATCCATATTAGACTTCCTCGGTGAACTAGATTGTTTGCCTACAGTTAGATCAGTCTTATAAGTCTTCATCGGAGTCTTATCTTGCTTCACACTATCAACACATATAGCCGCTTTATTGCATAAAACATCTTTGGGCATAAAACTTTCAATCACCAAGCGACATTGAACCTTATTATCAGTGATGTAGACACCACGTTCGGACGGCAGTATATTAACTGATACTATTTTAAAGCAGTCATTGAGCTCGGTTAACACTGATTCCTGTTTATCAGTTTCCTTTATAGATTTCATCATTTCTTCAAAATAGAAATTCCTTACTAGAATTTCTAATTCCGCTGTACTGGCTATCCTAGCTGAGAGCTTTGTATATCTGTAAGTAAATAAAAAAACACATATTTTCTTGTACTTTTATACGATAAATATGTTTCGTTTTATAGTAATATATAAAGTTTTATGATGAATATCACAGATACTATTAATGACCTTCACTAACCTAACCTAAATCCTAGAGCTTCCTATTTTTCATACACAAGTCATCACTCAAAATAGAATCCATACAGCTTATGAATGAAAAATGGATGAAATACTTATGTATATAATGAAAGACTGTTTGTGTTTAGTTCAACAAGGCACACTCATGATAGTTATACTCTATACAAGTTGTAGTAAATACTGTACGTTAACTATCCAATACAATCAATTTAGATGTCTATTTTTCTGACATGCTATCTTATTTAACAGGTTTTATCTGTAAAAATGTCATATTTATTTTCATCAAAGTTATCCTACCTATCTCTATCCTTCATCTTATAAGCTGCAGCCACCAGCTCGAGTCTCGTCTGCGCGGCCAAATCTTTCCAGCCCTGTTCTTCATAAGAGCGAAGAGCTTCTGTCAGGAAAACCACGGCTTTACTACTCTCACCCAGTTCGGAGTAGAACGAGGCCAGGTCTCTACCTATCTGACGGGCAAATCTGCAAATCATACATATTATATGTGTGTCGGCGACGCAACTGATGTTTAGTTAATAATAGATTTAAGAGATAAGAAATGTAAGAAATAAGGAATTAGGCTAATATTTGTATTGTATAATTAATAAAAGGAAAGCGACTCTTGCAGGTGCGCAACACGTGTAAATAAAAATCCCTAATGAGCGTCTCTTGCAAGAGCGCAGTATACTCTTGTCGAACTTAAGATAAACCTATTGACCAATAAACGAACGGCGGTAGGGTCACTTGGCGGGGCATCCGCGCTGGCTCACAGCGGTACTAGGTGCGCGCGCGCAACGTATATAAAACACGGCCGCTGTGAGTCGAATAGTCAGTCGTCATCAGTCGTCGTCAGTCGTCATCAGTCGTCGTCAGTCGTCATCACCATCAGTCGTCAGTAGTCAGTCAGTCGTCATCAGTCGTCAGTTGTCATCATCAGTCGTCATCACCAGTTATCAGTAGTCATCATCAGTAGTCACCAGCCAGATCTCGTGAAGACATCTCATACGCTTTGAAGAACAGTGAAGAACCGCGCTTTCAAGATAGTGACTAGGGACCACGTGGTCATACAAACCAAGTGATACTGCCGCCATTACTTAACAAGTTGTGGTTTCATTCTAAAACGACGATACGACCCGCCACGAACACGGATCCCGAGGATCGGATCACCGGCCGCCTGCTATTGGAGGAATTATCATCCGATCCGATCCACCCCTCAAGCGGCGAACGATTCCGAACTCGATATTCGGACATCCCAACCGCAACAATGTGTATAGAAAATTTTATTGCTTTCATTTACGCAAAAATGCTGATGTTGTGGAATTTAAACTGACGAAAAAGTATTGCAAATTTAATACTCATCAAATAACTTAAGACGCTCAGGAAAGGTGAAAATAAATGTTATTTGAAAAAAAATCATCAATTTTATTGTGTTTAAAAGAAACTAATATTATTTAGATCAACAATTCGTCTACCCATCATCACTGTTGGTGAAAAGTAACCGAAACGTCGGTAGTATGTAGTTTTAAAATAATCGTAGATATCCGAATAATATTAGTTGCATTTAAATAAATGCTGGCGAAAATTTTAGATCTAAAATTTAGTATACACACACAAATATATATATATTACTAACCTAAGTCTTCCAATATGCTTATAAGTTCCCATAGCCAACTCAGCCAATTCTAGATAATAATTCTGGAAGCTGGTCTTGCTACATAAAGCTTCTTTCAATCTGTCCGTCGGTGTTTGTTGATTTGGTTCACTATCCCCCATACCAGCTGACAGCATCACCACTAAGTGTAGCTGTTCTGATGTAGGGTCTGGACATCCGGGGAGAAGTCCACATAGCTTGCCCAATTCATGTAACTAGAATTATTTACAAACTGCCAATTATTAATAGTTCTAAATAAAGAAAAAGTACTCATCTTTGGCTCAAAGTGAACAATAATCTGCTTATAAAGTTATAATCAGCAAAATTTGTATTAAAATTAACATCTATATTAGACAAGATATAAAATTTTATAAAATCAGTTGCTTTGCAAATTTAAATACAAAATGCCAGTTAGTAGTAATTCTAGACAAACAAAAAACACCTATCTTAATCGTCACATGAAGAAAGATCTATTTCTAAAAGTATCAACAGCAAAATTTGTATTAAAATTAACATCATATATAAATCAGTTACTTTGGATATTTAAAAGCAATTCTTGTTTATATTAAAACAATATAAAGGATTATAAAATAAAATTTGTTTCATTAACCATATTATACTATATCAAACCGACCTTATCTTTAGCATTATGCAATAAAGGAGCATGCATTGCCGTACACGCCTCTAGCGCACTATTAGTGGATGATAATCTTTCACACGCTCTCAATGTTTCAACACAGGCCAAGTGAGCCCAGCAAGCCGCTGCTCCATCCACAGCATGCGCTCCTAACAGAGACACCTCAACCAGTGTATTGTGAACTGTGGTTAGACATCGGGATGCTATCTGAAATACAAAAATGTCTAAACTGTATAAATAGTATTTTTTATTGGCTAATATTTGTCTTATGATCATTGTATCTATATAGAACTATTAAAATGTTGAGATAATTAGTAATTTATTTTAGCTATATATAACAATTTAACTTTTAATTCTGGTGAGAGCAAAAAGTTTGTAATACATCAATATAATATATTATACAATACCTATATAATACATATAACATAACAATAATATATCATTTTTATACATTTTTATTACATTATGTGTTGTTTTTACACATTACACATTCATCATTATTATAAATAATTCAACATTTATCATTATTTATCTAGTATAAATCAAAGTCATTGTAAATAAGTATAATTTTAATAATAACATCAAAGACAATTTATAATATAATTTTATTAAAATAATTACATTTTATTTTGATTTTAATGTTACCTATTAAATAATCATATCACTGTATGTTAAGGCCATTAAAAATTTCATATAGTATGATAAAAAATATCTTATCAGAAACATATCAGTTATATATTATTAAAATTAATAAGAACTAGAGTTACTAAACATATCAATAATTCTTTGAATTCTATTGTATGTTAGAACAACTGTAATTGTAGTAATTATCTCCGATTCATGTTATGGATGGCTGATCATATGAGAGTAATCATTAAATGAATTGGAATGTTACTATAGAAATGCTAAATGTTTTGGTAAGAAATTAAAAGTATTAGTATCATAATTAGTTATTTTAACTCACCTCCCATGGCTTAAAAGTAGGTAATAACATGGCACTTTGTCGTTGAAATAAATAACTTCTAAAATCTAATAGAGATGCTTTATTCTTAATTATTAATTCTCTTAAATTCTGTGGCACTAAAGCCGTTAATCTCACTGCCTGCCATGATGTGATCGGCTGTTTGAATGTTTCAAGCCATTTTGGACTCTCTGTTACATTTGAATTTAATACAAATTGAGAAAACAAAGCATCTAATTCATCATACTGGACTAGAGCTTCTTCATACAAACCGAGCATCTCAAGAACAAATGCTAATTGCTCCTGCAAAAATAATATTATTAATCTCTCAACCATAAAGGCTATACACAAAAATATATTAACTATTTAATTCATATTTATATTACATAAAGCAATTTATAATTAATAGATCAAAAAAGCTCACTTTTATATAAATTATGTAATAACTGACTGAATTGTTTTTATTAACACAGTATCATGTAATTACCTGCAATATAAAATATTTACAAAAATCCCATTCTGGATCATTCCTTCTTTCTCTCTGTTCTCTCATGTGTTCTTCAAATTTTATCAAAGCCTTATTGTATGCGACTAAAACCAAATGCCTCACTTTCGCCACTAAAGTTCTCCATGAATCCGCACTTCTGGCCTCCGATTTTATAGGATTAATAACTGAAATAAACCTGTCTTCTGTCTGTTTAACAGCAAAATCTCCTTTTATTTTATCTAAAACTGTAGTTCTTGGAAGAAGTTTATTTGTTTTTCTTATATCATAAGTCTCTACTAATACTATCATCCAGTCCGTAATATTGTGTTTTTCTAACTGTTTCAGCCATACTTCTATATCTTCTCTCAATGTGGTTTTGTAATATTCTATATCCTGTAAATTATTATCATTTAATGTAATATAAATATGACTGAACTTGGTAATTTAAATTCAAATATTCATCAAAACCTCTTTACCACACAATCAGTCCAATAAATGTGAAAAATAGGTCGGTTCAAAAGGTTGAGCTCTGTTTTCAATTTGTCCTTATTAAATTTTATAAAGGATGCTTCTAAAGACACTAATTTAGTTATACGGCCATAGGATCTTCGCCATTCACAAGAATCTTGTGGTATTGCAGCTACCAGCGGCTGTTCAAGTGTACAAAATAAATTCCAATCTCCTGCACCTGTAAAAAACGCTATTGACTGTGCATCGACGTATGAATACGAACATGGAATTCTTCGATAGAACTTACATGTTATAATGGGTTTGTGTGTCATGCCTTCGTGATCCGATATTGAGTTATCGACCCCCTTCATTTTTCATCATCAATAGCTTTAGTTACATCTGGATTAGAATAAAATAAGGACCAATTATGATTCCGAGTCCACCCACTTTCTTAATATCCTGAATATGGCAACTATATTACAGATATAATTTGCCCTATAGCTAAGCTTTGGAAATATTCTACAATATATTTAAATCCGACCTGTTTTGGTTTTTACAAGAAAAATATTGAATAAAGATTTTGACAAAATTTGTCTGTCAATGTCATCAATCAACTCCACGAATTATTATTTTTTGAAGCGTTTCTTTTCACTACTTTCTTTGTGATTTGTATTTATACTATCAAAGTAAATTGAATTAATTTATTTGATTTTCAATAATTTTTTTTTGAATAATTGTAATTACTAGCTCAGATATATTATATGCTTATGAAGTGTCTCGTTTCTCTGTTTAATTATTCTTGTTAATATGGGTTTATAACAAGTTGCAATCACATCTATTCCATTAGAAAATTTATTTGTTATGATCTTAAGTAAAAGTTTATGCTAACAGGTTTTGTACTAACTGATTTTCACAAAATCCAATTGTAATTTATTATACAAAATACACTAAATATTGTGAAAATAAATCCTCAGTTTCTGAAATCAAACAAACGATACGATTTTTTTTAACATAAATGCTGAAAAACGTATCCAAAAAAAATGTAATTTATCTAATAAAAATATTTTTTTGGAAAATTATTTTCTGTTAGTATTTCATTTGACAACAATAAACTCATGACTATCGATTCTATCGAGCTCAGTGTGAATAACCCACAACACTAGTCTTTCCATTGCGGATTGCTAAAATGTCGTGTTCTGTTTTGCTATCATCTCTCAATAAAAGAAATCAAATTTCATAATATTATCCATGATTTGAGAATTATACATAGAGTGCATTTTTTACGTAAACTAGATATATAAATACTAAAAGCAAAAGGTGAGTGTTCAATCATTATCAGCCTAATCATTCAGGTATTTAACGCAAATTATTATTTTATTTTATTTGCTGGTGGACTTTTAATTCTACGAAATAATTGATTGTGTGTAACGCCTATGTAAATATATCGAGACTAAGAATTTATGAAGTGTATTCTTTTATTTGTTTATCATATTGGTCCTTATAAATGGAGATCCAAGTAATCATTCAACTGTTATAAATAGCCTAGCGATTTGTGTATGTAAATTTGATCAGTAAGGTATAATTAATGCAAAATAACTATTTTGTTCCTCGCGGGCTCAATTTAAAATCAAAGAATATAATGTATATATTCTTATTATAAATTGGTTTTGCAGTCATGAATACGACGGCGCCAACCTCGGCAGATGCATGCCTAAGCATTGTCCATTCACTAATGTGCCATAGGCAGGGTGGTGAGAGTGAAGGCTTTTCAAAACGGGCTATTGAGTCACTAGTCAAGAAGTTGAAGGAAAAGAGAGATGAGCTTGATTCTTTGATCACAGCTATCACCACAAACGGTGCCCATCCCAGTAAATGTGTTACTATACAGAGAACTCTAGACGGTCGATTACAGGTACTAAAATATTTTGTAACTATTTTCAGTTATCATATAATTAAATAATAATATATATACATAAATTTATATAATAGTATTTTCCTCATTCATATATATAATGATTGAAGAGTACTGTTTACACAGTTGTAAACTTAAATTAATGTAGGTCAGTGTGAAAATTAAATATAATGATTCTGAATGTTAATTTAAAGATAGTAGATAATATCTTTTATGATATTTCAGGTTGCGGGAAGGAAAGGATTTCCCCATGTGATATATGCTCGTATATGGCGCTGGCCCGATCTACATAAGAATGAGTTGAAACATGTTAAATTCTGTCAGTTTGCTTTCGATCTGAAATGTGACTCGGTGTGTGTGAATCCATACCATTATGAAAGAGTTGTATCTCCAGGTATTGGTAAGTTCCTGTATATGGTAGGATAAGTAAAAAACTCTTATTATATTACATTTATTTACAGTATTAAGTGAAAGTAATTTTAATAGATATCTATCATGAGTTTGATTTATTTCTAGATCTTTCTGGACTGACTCTGCAGTCGGGTCCTAGTAGGTTAGTAAAAGATGAGTACACAGCTGGTCTAAGTGGGAACGGAATGGATATGGATACAGGAGAACTTGTAACAATCCAGCACCATGCCACAAGCCCCCGACATCATCACTCCACCATTCCCCACCACCACCAACAGTTCCAGACCTCTAACATCATAATAAATCAAGGACAAAGTAAGCTCATCCTTAGATAATTTAATTTTCGTTTATTATGTGTGTTTACTTTGCTGGCATGTTATTTTTTTTTTGCATATCTCATTGATAGCGCCAGATGGCGTTGCCAATATGTTTTCTGCTACTCATGGACCTCGACCGCAAATTCGAGCCGGAGCACCTATGGTTCCACAAATGGTACATTCGCCAGGGGCGCAAATGATGACTAATCATCAGGGACAAATGACAGGCGGACCTCAAATGGGCCCGGGAAACCCACAAATGGGTCCCGTTAACCCACAAATGGGGCCTGGGACGCCACAAATGGGTCCAGGCACTCCTCAAATGGGGCCGGGAACTCCACAAATGGGTACAAACGTTCCACAAATGGCTTCACCAAGAATGGCGTCAGCTCCCACCCAAATGTCCCCAGGGACCCCACAAATACCAAATATAAGTCAGGGAATGTCAATACCAAGCCCACAACAAATGGCAATGGCACAACAAAGAACTATAGCCCCAAAACTAGAACCGCCCGATGCTATGGATGCAAGAGCTATGTGGCTGCCAAAGAGAATGAATCATTGTAAGCTTATGTTTTTATTTTGCACCAATTATTATTATTTTTTATTTTATTTTATCACTATGTGTATCATCTAGTAATGTAATGAGGTTGTATCAATAATCCTATATATTGTGTATGAGTGATTATTTTTCAGCTTCAATGCCTGTTAGTATGTCTCCTGGCGGGACGACGCCGTTAATAGACGGCTCCAATAATGCATTCTTTACTAACGAGCAGACTTCTACAGATACTCAGATGACACAGACTATGCCAGGTTAATGAAATTTTTATATATAAGTTTTATACTAATTTTATTTCAAGAATTAACTCCACATTGCTTTAAGTAGCAGTTTGTAAAGAAAGCAATAACTCATCATTATGGGTATTACAGGCCCAAAGGAGTATAAAGACCAAAAAAAGGGGGTATTAATACAGCTTCAAATAATTAATTAATTAATTTAATTTGAACTTATAGCGGTATTTCAGTTGATGAAAAAATGGAGGCCTTAAAAAATAATTTATTCTCAAAGATCGCAGTTACCACATAAGTTTGGGAACCTCTGCTTTAAAGCCAAAAAAATAAGAGGAGAAATAAATTTTACTTGTCAATAAATAACATAATAATGGACAAAATAAATATATAACTATCAGTATGTTTAATGACATAAAATGACGTCATTTTCAGCCGGAAGTCAATCGGTGTCAGCCGTGGTGCCAGTGACGTCATCAGCTATGCCAAGTGAAGCCCAGAATGGCTTTGCTGCGACCAGCCCACCACCACAACCCAGTCCTATACCACACCGCACACAACATCAACAAGGTAACTGGTTTTGTATAAGGCAATTACTTTCATATTTTATTATTGAAATTTTGTGAAATATATATTAATACAATATAAGCTTCTTTCCGAAATTTGATGGTTGCAAATAAGAAGAAAGATACAAAATAGATTTAATTTGTTTTGCTGGACAAATGAGTCTTAGGAGCTATAAAACTACTTTATAATTAAATTACAGTTGTAATACAAAGATCTAGTAGCAATAAAACTAAAATGAATATTAATTAATAATACAGCTTTACCTTTGTTTAAAATATTTAAAGAAACCAAATAATTGTCGAAAAGAAAATGGAAACTAATATTTAATCCTTCAAATAAATTCTCAACTATTTGGAACCATAAATTATTACCTTTATTATTTTGATATACTTGAACAACTATGTGATGTGTAAAGATAAGATAAAATATGATCTGTTACAGGCACTTGGACCGGGAACAACACCTTGACTTATACACAAAGCCTGGCGCCGCCGCCCGCCGCTCCTATGCAGGATGTACCTACACACCACCATCACTACTGTTAGTACTATATATATAGGTTCCGAACGGTGAAAAAATTTTTAAAATCAGTCCAGTTGTTAGTCGAGCCTATTCATTACAACCAAATAAACAAAGTTTTCCTCTAATATATATATTAGAATATAGCTGTTGATAAAATCTATATTACTTATACTTGTAATATTATATATAAAAAGCTTTCCGCCCGCGTGGAGTTCGGTTATATCGCGTTTCCAAGAGAACCTTTCAAAAGTCTGCTATAAAAACTATCCTACGTTCTTTCTCAAGGTCAACTCTATCTTTGTAACAAATTTCATTAAAATCAGTTCAGTGGTTTAGGCGTGAAAGCGTAACAGACAGACAGACATACAGACAGAGTTACTTTTGCATTTAAAATATTAGTAGGGATTAGTAGGGATATATCTTACTATAACTTTGTCTTATTGATGAGTGTGTGTGTCAAATAGTTAATATTTATTTATATAAAGACAAAAATTGTGTCCTTTAAAAAATATTATTTATGATTTTACAATTTCGGACTATTGACTTGATTTGTTTATTAAATCTTAAAATATTCCATCTATTTTTAAATATACTTCAGAATAATTTTGAGATGATTAAATAATAATGTTATTAATAAGCTGTATATATATTTGTAAAATAAGCCTAAATTGAGGAGTACAGATTATAATTTTTTTTTTTAAATTACAGATAATGGAAACCCAGGTGGTTTATTGTCAAGCCAGCCAGCACCTGAATATTGGTGTTCGGTGGCTTACTTTGAACTGGATACTCAAGTGGGGGAAACATTCAAAGTGCCATCAAGCAGACCAAATGTTACTGTAAATATTTACATTCTTTGGTGATATTTGAAACTAATTTAATTAAATTAATTGATTAATTTTTATATTGAATCCTCATAGATAGTTATTGTCTAATATAAGTGAGTTTTGGATATTACTTATCAGAATAATATATAGACATCATATGTTACAAGTATGAATATCTATCTGATGGATGACTTAGACAGATATAGAACATAGATATGACAAGCCCGTTATTATTATAAAATAGACAATACAATATTTTTTGATTGAGTGTAGATATGTTAGAAGTGAATAAAGCTAATCAATACAAAGTTTTATTTAATAGTTTTTTTTTTACATTGAATGGTATTGAATACTTTAGAAATATTATTGTTTACAGCAACACATTTTAAGATTATGTGATCAAGAACAAATGATTCAGATTTTTTTTTTTTATTGCTATGTTTATCTCCCAGAAATGTTCATCATTAAGTTAGGTTAAGTTTATAATACAGCAAAGTTAATAATATATTATATAAAATTTATTTTTTAAGGTTGATGGTTATGTGGATCCATCGGGTGGCAACAGATTCTGTTTGGGAGCTCTCAGCAATGTACACCGAACAGAACAGAGTGAAAGGGCTCGGTGAGTATGGTTTAATTAATGAAAATATATATTTTTGTTGATATTAATTATATAATCATTGATAAACGTTAGTCAAACTATTTCTTTATATTTTATATTATAACTCTGATAATAAAATACAAAAAAAAAACTATAAGACAATATTACAAAATTAAGGGTAAATGCCACAAAATACAGAAAATATTTTCAATATTTCTCAGGAGTTACTCCTAACATAATAGTAGATGGCGCCACTTGTACCATATACATTATAACAAGACTATAAAATATTGAGTTTATCACAATAACTTTGATTCCAAATTTCATTGGAACTTTGCAACACAAACTAATATACAAATTAAAAATGAGTTGTTTATGAGTTTGTTTAATATAACTTAAAGTTAAGTAAAAATAAAGTTGCTTTAATTTTATTACATGTATAAATGAAAGTATTATAATGATTTAAAATTAAGAAGTATGGTTTTGAATTACATGCTAATTCTGTAATATATTGCATTTGGGGGCTACATTATTATATGAATCAACTAAATAAAATTACATAATTACTATATTCCATAAAGCTCTTAAATTCTACTGCTAATTATACATATAATAATATAATATTAATAATTAATTATTTGTTCCCAGACTTCACATCGGCAAAGGTGTACAGTTGGATCTCCGTGGTGAAGGAGATGTGTGGCTGAGATGTCTCTCGGATCATTCGGTGTTTGTGCAGTCCTACTACCTGGATAGAGAGGCCGGCCGGGCTCCAGGAGACGCCGTACATAAGATATACCCATCAGCATGTATTAAGGTTTGATAATATACATAGATACTTAATTATTTTAAATCATATATAAAGCACATGGTGAAAAGATAAAAGATCAGTAATAGATATTGTCTTAGTCAGTGGTGGCCTAGTGGTTAAAAGGCCCGCCTTTCAAACATGAGGGCGCGGGTTCGATCCTGGCAAGTACCAATGTGATTTTTCCGAGTCATATGTACTTTCTTAGAGTATTTAGATACCACTGACAGACGGTGAAGGAAAAAATCGTGAAGAAGTCCTTCTGACTTATAATTTCACGACTATAAGTTTGAAATCAGTAATCACCAACCTGTTTTGAGCAAGTGTGGTGATTAATGCATTCTCAAAGAGGGTTGATGTCAAGCAGGCGGTCGGTCGTAAAAACAATTAGCCAAAACTATTTATAACATGTAAAGCAGACCCTAGCTAAAGCTGGGAAAATTGCCAGGAACAAGAAGCATAGATATTGTCTATGAAACATTTCTGGTTAAAGTGTTTATAGTAATGGTTGCTATATTAAAATGAATTTTTATGTCTTACAAAAGCTGAGACTTTAGTATTGAGTAATGAATACAAAGATATTTAGGCGTGCCAGCGCTATTATTAAGTAAATTCAGTTCTAGTATTTACCACGACCATTTCACTGGTAATTTCATAAATATTTGTTATTGATTACCAATAATCTATATCTTATACATATAACATTCTCGTGTCACAATGTTCGTTCCCGTACTCCTCCGTAAAGGCTATACCGATTTTTACCTAATTTTATATGCGTATCTAGTAGATCTGAGAATCGGCTACTAGCTATTTTTCATACCCCTAAGTGATATGGGCTGTTCACTCTTAATTTATTTTTGGACGAAATTTTTTATTTTTATTTTATATATTCTTTATCCATCTGTATTTTCCAGGTGTTTGATCTCCGTCAGTGTCATCGTCAGATGCAGACGCAGGCGGCCACAGCGCAGGCGGCGGCGGCAGCGCAGGCTGCAGCTGTTGCAGGACACATACAGCCAGCACACCCGGGAATGAACAAATGTATGTTAGTGTGTGTGTGTGGGTGTGAGAGAGTGCATGTCGTTTCCTTAGTTAACAACACCGCTCAAGTCGAAAATTGGCGGTTTTTACATTTTAATGCAATTGAATGAAGCTGTGCATTGCGCCTCGACCGTCAAAATAAGTATAAATAATTATTTCTTAATAACTAACTAGTATTAAGTAGCAATAGGAAAAAACATAGATAGTTTAGACAGGTTTTTTCGTCACCTTTAGAGCTGACAAAAACGACTCAAGCGGTGTTGTAAGCTATGGGACGATATGTGTTTGTAAGACGTCGAGGATGTATGTAAATGTATGCATATATGTGGGTTTATACATGCGTGAGTGTGCGTATATGAGATAATATGTACTTATGCATTAACATTTTAATCAAAAATATTATTCATTATTTATGAGGTTTTTATGGGTAGTTTACTTTTTATTATCACTAATATTATATAAGAGAATTTTTGTGTGGATTTGCGGTTAAATTTTCGTGTGTCTCTGTGGGGAATGTGGCATGAGAATTGTATTTTATACTAAGTCACGTGACAGACGATATATGTCGCTGTCGATAACATAAATTACCATATTTAGCAAAACATTGTCCGTATCTTCTAGAAATAGTTCCCAGATCACGATAAAGTTTAGTATAATTTAGTTTAGTAACAAAAGTCCGTAAATAATATGTTTATAATCAGGTTTGTCAGCGGCGGCTGGTATTGGCGTGGATGATCTCCGGAGGCTATGTATAGTCCGTTTATCGTTCGTGAAGGGCTGGGGGCCCGACTACCCTCGCACTTCCATCAAGGAGACGCCCTGCTGGGTTGAGGTCCATCTACATAGGTATGTATGAATATACTTATAATATACTAGTTTTTGCCCGCGACTTCGTCCGCGTTAGTTTGGTCAAGAGTAATATATGTAGGTGTAGCTGATCAGTTGAACTCTATTCCATCTTACAGGCCATAAATAATCAGGTTTTTCCTGTTTCAATCAAACAGAATTGACATATTTGTTAGTTGTCAAATCTAATGTCAAAAAAAACTTTTGTATGGGAAATAGAAAAGGACTGTTTTTATGGTTTTCCCAGTAATGAATCAATTTTTCTCACCTTTTAAACCTTCCCTGGACTTCCAGGAGTATTTCAAGACTAAAATTAGCCAAATCGGTTCAGCCATTCTCGAGTTTTAGCGAGACTAAGGAACAGCAATCCATTTTTATATATATAGAAGATAATAGGATCAAAAAATGCAAGATTGCCAACAGATATTGATTTATATATAATTTCGTATTGTATTTCCTTTTTATTCACTAATATCTAAGTCATGGGTGGCTAAAAAAGGATAGGTTGAAAAAATAGTTTGTTTATAGTAGGTATTTGAGCTTAAATTTTCTGGACTTTTAGGTGTTAAATGTGATGAAATTTTGTATTAAGGATCTACTATCAGACTACCACTTTATTAAGACCCTCATATGTGTTAAAAATGAGCTTTATTAACATAGTAAGTTGTTTTAAATTTAAATGACTGTATATATTTTAGGGCTCTACAGTTATTGGACGAGGTGCTCCACACTATGCCCATAGACGGTCCTCGGACTAGCATCGAGTAGGAGTTGATCGGCTTCTTTTGAGGCCTTCACGCGACCGCGACGCCTCACCACACTGTCTGTCTGTGTCACAATCTGTTACACATTATCTCCTTAACAAACAAAACACTTTACATACAAAATCAATTTAACTTGACAATCAATTACTTTTTATATATCACTTTAATAATTTTTACCTGTGACTAAATTGTCCTTGAGCAATTTTAATTTTTTTTTTGGTTTAAAACTTTAAAAAATCAATATCATCAACAAAGACAGTATAAAAATAATAATTTCACAATTATGTACATAAAATTTGAGCAAGTTTTATGTTTTGAAAGCAATAATTGTTTTAATAGCACCGTGTACAATGCAGTGCTGTTTATTATATTGTGGTGATGCGATCGCTAGCGAAATGTGCACGTTTGTTGGTGAAGTGAAGGATTATTACACGAACAGTGATCGAGTGTTGCCATAAAGAATATATTTCTGTTATTTTTTTTCAATGTGAAACTATTTTTCGGCTTCCGTCTTCCAAATTATAATTTTTTATTTGTCTTCCTTTGCATAAATTGTTATGTTTTGTTTGGGTGTGATCACGGCTAGGTTTCGTTGGTAACGAACTGCACATTGTTAAATGTATTCGCTCGCGTTTGTATTAAAAGGTGAACTATGAATTATCGTCTTGTCTTTAACTAGATAATAGTTTAGATAAGTTACAGTATTGAGATGAATACTAAAGAACATATTGAAGGGATCTCAGTATATAATATTTTTCACAAATCCTAATAATTAAGTAAGATATTAGTATATACGGACAAGCTCAAGGTGTTGTCTTTATATATTTTTTGTAATATAGCAACAGTAATACCAAATTAAGGCATTTTTTTGTATTAATTTAACATTAACAAGACATAATTATGGTTCAACTTGAAAGAAGCCAAATAGCACTAGCTTTGGTAAGATAAGGTAATGTTAGAAATAAATTATGTTAGATATATTTAAGGAAATGGAATTTGACGGTAAGGCTGTTTTGTTAGAGCGATGAGCCTGGACTGTGTGGTTGCATGCATTACAGAAAAAAATAATTATGTTCTATAGTCTATATCAGAATATATGGTGACCATAGACTACTTCCTACATATAAATTAATTTTTCATATGTCATTAATTATCTCTTAATTGCTTCTTATATATAATATTGTAGTATTTTACAAATCTCCTACTAATATATTATCAGTTAAAAATGTTCACTGTTTTAGTTTTCTCTATATATTCTTTGTACTCAAAAAATGTAACTTAGAAAGTACATGAATGGTTATGATTTTTTATTTGTTTGTCTGTGTGCATGCAACCACATTGTTGTTAAGATGATCTGTGATGTGCTAACAAAATATAAGGTAGGAATTGCGTTTATATAGATGTGTGAATTAAATACCTGTGAGCGTATAAATAGTTTTTAAGGCATAAATGACATATTTTGTACGAGAGTTCAATGGTTATGGAGATTGTAGACTAGCGTTTATCATGGGATATTTGTTTCCGTCTGTAGTCTGCGCTGTTTCTTGTGTTTTTTTTTATTATGCATTATTTGAGATTTTTTTTTCGTTTGCTTCAGATTTTGCTTTAATTATTACTATATGGCAGTTTTATATGTGTTGAATTATAAATAGTGTTACGTTATTGATGATTGGTGATCTTATTACCTGATGTTTAGGTCTTACCTATGTATAGAATTTTTTAATCATTTTTTTTATGTTTAATTAATATTTTTTTTCATTTTAGAGGACGATCATCACAAATATTTATGTTTCTTTTCCGTCATCAGCCCGATATGATTGTTACCAATGAAATTTTGTATGGATTCTTGTAAATATAACGTATTATATATTTTATACATGTGAGATCGGTTATATGTGAACATTTGATTTTTCACAAAAAAAAAAGTAATTAAATTAGAATACGTCGAAAATACCTCTTGATAGTGAACAAAAAGGATACAAAGGGTTTTAGATTTAATGCGGTAAGTTTTTTAAATAATGTTAAAGTTTTGAATAATATTTGAAAAAATTCTACATACCACGTTTGAAGCCTTTAAAGACTGTTGGATTCTTGGTCGTTCATACACACGTACTGAAGTTTATGAGATTGTATGTAACATTTGAATTAATACCGGCGTGTTAACGTATATATGTTGGTTTTATGTATGTACGTGTAGCTATGAACGCACCAATATCAGAAACTAAAACCAATGTACAATTATTGACCAGTTATATATTATAAAGAGCAACAATTGTTATGGTGACATGAGTTTAAAATGTTTATGATTGTTTTATATGTGGTGATGCATTTTGGTATATTCGCATAGCGATTTAAATTAAAAAATCAATTTTTTAAATATAAGGAGACAAATAGACCGGCAGTTTATTTTTCATATTTTCGACAAAATACCTTACATGGTGTAACTTAGCCTTAAGTATAGTTAAGAGTGAATCTAAACTATCAAAGAAATGAATATAAAGGTTATTCCTCTAAGTGAAGTTTTATTTTATACATATATCCTTATTTCTTTTTGTATTGAATAATACGCTGTCTCTATATTATGTATGTATATAGTTTATGAACAAGGAATTTTAATGTTTTTGAAATTTTTATTTTTCACAACGATCTAGGTATATAAAATTAGGTAAATAAAATTTATGGAGTCCCCCTGCCCGGATGAAGTTAAACTTCCTAATGTGGGAATGAAAATAGGAAGGGGTGGAAATTCATTTTTAAGGAATTTTTATTTTAAAACTAACTATTAAATATTACTTTAGTCACAATTGATTGTCCGCCGGCGTGCGAGAACCACGCATTCCCTCTCGCACCGTCTTTTTTATCCCCCCCCCCCCACGCCAGAGGTGTAAAACATTTAACGCAACCTTGTGGGAAGGCGCGAAAGAAGTTTAACTTCAATAAGATTATAGATATCTAGATATAAAAATTATTTTATATATAGATTATATAATATGGAACAGCGCAAGTGAAGTCGCTTGTACATCCTGGTTGGTTTATTAAAGAGATAAAATAACGTTTCTCATTTTCTCTTACCATTGTTCAAACTCCTATCTCTATCCAATCAAATTTGAAACAAAACTACTGGGTTGCCTTCGAAGTACGTGTTAGCAATGAATTGTCGTTAGTTTTGAACAGACCCATACATCCAAAAGCCTAGTATTGCCGAAAAATTATGAAAAAAACTCCTAACGTCCTTTATAAAGTGACGATGACGATTAGCACTCAGCGTAATGATTTCTAGGTGGCATTTTGGCCTTGTTACAATGAATAGAATGAAATTAAAGAAATAGAAATGTTCTCATAGAAATCAGCTCGTAATCTTCTTACGTTCAGTTTGTTGAGTTGGAGCTGGTAGTCTTTTTACTCGATATTTGTCTAGGTTCAGTTATTATTTTATCTGACCAGTGTAAGTCTGTTTCAATGGAGGGTATTGAGTGAGTTTGATTAGCCTGGGGACACCATTATTCGTTTGGTGGAACGCAAAGATGCCGAACTTTTAACGTCTCGGTCTACAACATACTTGCAATCTCCTTATTATCAGATCAAGGGGTCTAAAGTTTCTATCTCTACAACGCCATCTTACCTTCATTTTCCCTTTACAACTGTTCAAATCTCTTCTTTGGTTTATGCTTTCTTATGTATAACATTATTTTAAACATTTATACAGCATACATGTTTGTCACCAAAAAATATAATCTTTATAGCAGTAATGTTGCACAGGTAAGTTTGTAAATGTGTATGTTCTATACTTCTTATATTGCACATATACATATATGATAGACTTTTACTACATTATATAAAAACTACAAAACTTAAATTACTACAACTACAATTTTTTTTATTATAATATGTCTTGATTCTGTTCGATAAGAGTAGGAATATACAAATAGTTTAATTCGAAACGAAATTCTAAATTTATATACATACCTACTTAGTAAATATTTTTTGTGAGAAAATTGGTGTCGCTACCTTCAGCGTAGTTTATATTAACAACGTCAAAATAATATATATATAATACAGTTTTAATATATAATACAGTTTTGTCATTTCTAAACTACCGAAAAAGCCAGCGCGTAAAATATATTACTTAGTACCATTGTCTTACTAAACGTAAAATCCCTATGACTGTTTCTTTGGTACAAATTTCTGGGTCAGTTTCTAAAAGGATTACTTATATCGATGCAGTTACTATCGGATACAGGATAATATAACATTTTACTTATTTTTAAAACCTCTTGTTCTATATTACAATGGTTTTTGCTAGAACTGTCCATGTGCCCGCATCATGCTTTATTTAAAATTGGTTGTGGAGCTATATATGTATTTGTACACTTTTGTTTTATTTAGTCTAAACGTTATCGGAAAAATTGGAAAACTACAAAAATATTTTATTTCAAAAGCGTACATAATAGAAGACATCGCTTGTTTCTATATATTATTCGAAATTGCATTTACATAGAACAGCAATTTCCACATTTCATGATTTTTTTGGAGGTCATCAAACTTTATTTATTTTCGCACTCGAGTGGGTTGAACGAAGCCAACTGTTAACAAGTCGTAAATCTATACAAAACGCTCGTGATTGTAAAAAAAATAGCTCACTATACATTACCCGTTGATTTGTCTACGTGGTACTTTTTTCCACGTATTAATAGACGGTGATATCTATGTATTTTCAAAGTCAATATATCATAAATCCATTTAAAAAAATAGTATGAAAATGTAACATAATTAAATTTTGTATACCCCGTAATAATTACTTTCCCCTACTTTCCCCCATACTTTTTCCAATATTGCATATATCTATTGTTCAAATTCGTCATCTAAAATTAACGGTCCTGAGATGAACGTGTTCAGTCGAATAGAATAACCCTACAAAAATTTAAACTGAATTCAAATCGAAAATAAACAGAAAATGTTCGAAAACCGAAACAGAAAATCAAGTAAAAACTCTTCAGTTTCATA